ATTCTTTAGGACAAACCATCCAGTTACCCCAACAAAAATGCAAGAAAAAAAGAAGACTGAGGAATCCCTAAAAAGAGATAGAAGAGGCCACAGCAACCAAACACAATGTGTGATCCTTATTTGCATTCTAATTCAAACCAACCAATTAAAGAATTGTTTTGAGACAATTGCCGATATTTAAATATGGCCTGCATAAATTGATGCTATTAATGGATTATTTTGGTGTGATAACTCTATTGTGGTTACATTGATGGAATTCTTATCTTTTAGAGAGAGATTTTAAAATATTAAATGAAATAATAGAACATCTGGGATTTGATTCAAAATAATCCACTGGGGAGGACGAAGATGATGCGACCCACAGAATGGTTATATATAGAGGTTACTTATATTAATCTCCCTGTATATGTGTTTGAAAGTTTATTTTTAAAAAATTGTTTAAGAATTAAAGAAAATATCAACACTGAAATACAGCACAATATATATTATGCAACAGGTACTTGGATAACACAATAATAGTTAATTTTAAGAACAATTAGTCATAAATATGGCTTTAAATATAGACCATATTCCATAGCAAAATCGTACTGTCTGAGGAAAAGGAAATTTCTTATGCTTCATTTAATGGCATTGTTCTCTTTGGCTGGATTTGAGAATAAAACCTGCTTCACTGCCTAAGTCATAACTGTCCCAAACTATTCTTACTTACTGATTTCAATAAACATATATTCCTGCATCCTAGAAATAAATTAAGAAGGGAAGTTTATATCCAGTTAAACCTTGACTAAGTTAATAGTTGAGTAACAGAGAACTAATGTTGAACTGAATTTTATGCTAGAGCTTTCACTCCTTTCTCTCCTAATTTTTCTTTTAGGGGGGCAAATTTCGGTATTGTTAGCTGCCATCTATATAAGTACTTTGCAGCTAGTGGTGTATATGGAATCAGTGAATGCTCATAACCCATTTAAATAATTTCATGATAATATGAAAAAAAATCTATGAAGACCAAACTATTTTTGTAGAAAATGCCAGAAGGTGGCATTAACAATTAGACTAAGATTACTACAGATTGTAATCGGATGTTAATGTGAACGAAGTCTCTGGACATTTTTCCTGAGTGCTCGGAATGAGAGCTGAAAGTCCCCGTACTTCCAGTAAATATAGAGGAGGACGGGTGCAAAATCTTCCAAGACACCGTTTGCTAAGTCTCATCGCCAAAGCCTTGTTCGTTCTTAACCGTCGTTTTATTCTAGCATTTTTCTCCTAGTCACTGCTGTTTCTCTAGATTTTCTACCGTCTGTTACTGAATCCAGCTGAAAGGTGCAGGGGCTTCTGATTCAAGCAGTCTGGAAAGGAGAGGTTCCTGAATCATAAGCTACTTCTCCAGGTAGACACAGGCATGGCACATTTTGAATACTTAACGCACACAGTCGCGTAGAAAGTTACTGCCAGAGCCGCTAGTGTGCAACACGCTGGCCTCCGTCACAGCGCCCTGCCGGCCCCCGGAACCCGAGACACTTCTCTGCAGGGGAGCCCTGCGTCCCCCATCCCCTCTCAGACCTCCGCCCCGGAGCCACCCAGCTCCCTGGGCACATTTCATGCAGCCAGGATCCAGCGCGGGCGCGAAGTGCAGAGCGGGATCAAGGGTCCCTAAGTGGAATTCTGGCTTCGCGGGGCAGCGGGGCACGGAGCAGTCCACATCCACCCCTCCCCAAGGGAGGGTGGCTGGGGCGAGACAGCGACTGGGGCCGCCTGGGGGGCCCCGAGAGGTCTTTGCAGTACTCCGGGCGCCTGCGACAAAGGGTGCCTGGGTTCTTGGGGACCACGAAGGGAAAAAGAAAGAAAACGACCCCTAGGAGGAAGAACGAAACGAGCTCTTCTGACTCCTAACTGGCTAACTTCTGTTAAGTTGGAGCGCTCCAGTGAGGCGGGGACAGGGATGTGGCGTGGTCAGGCCTGTAGGTGACCTTCCCACTGCTCGGGCGAGCGCTTCCTAAGGAAACGCAGAGCTCCGGGTGCAGGTCTGGGGGACAGAGGGCGCGCGCATCCGGGTCGCTGGGGAGCGGGCCGTGGGATCTAGGCCCAGAGGAAGAAGTTGAGACCCTGGCTCTTCTCCAGCCGCATCCTCTTGCGACACTCGAGAGGCCCACTCAGGAAAAGGTCACAACAGGGCATGGGGTTAGTGCTTCCAAAAACAGACTGGGTCCGGCGATATCGCCTGAGGGTCCTCAGGAGAGATTTTCTTAATTTCTCCGAGTTGCAAATTTCTTATATGTAAATTACGAAATGCTATAGTGTGTCTTTCAATGAGTGCTGGGTGTGTTAAAGGGAATCTAGTGTCCCGCAGACAGGGAGCAGGGGGATCGCTTAGCTGGTGCGGATATTTGTTAGTATTCGCCCGCCAGACCCAGGGGAAAGTCACGGTTTCCCTTCTGCCCTTGCCCCAGGCTCTCTGCGCTTCCCAGCCCTTCGCGTTCGGGCTCAGACTTTGGCTGGCTCTCTAGGGAGTTCTAGGTTCATCTCGTTAGCCTCTTCTAAAGAAGACGAACTCGTCTGCTACCCTCGAACTTTGATCTTTTGAGTAGCTCAATAGCGCGGTGGTTTTTAACCCCAGCTGCAGGACGCCCCGGCGCGGAATGGGCCTGGAATCCAGAGCCTGGGTTAGGACAGCAACCAGGTCTGGTCACCGCGCGGAGTACGGCGCTTTCCCGCCACGCGCGCTCTGAATATTTGTAGGGCTGCGGCGCCGCTGCCACAAAGCCTGGGCTGTGCCAACTGGGCGAGCTGCGGGATTGGTGTTGGCAGCACCAGGAGACCCTGCACCCGGGGAGCCAGCCGGGTCCCACCCGCCCGCGGGTCCTCCTTCCACGCTGGTCCCACCCGAAGGGCAGACCTCTCTGCACGGTCTGGGCGCTTCCAGCCAAGTGAACTGGAAGAGCCATGTTCGATTGGAGAACATTTAATTTACTCCTCCGCGATTATTTTTTTAAATTCATCATTCGACATGGCTTCGTTAGGAGGTTTGGGTCGGCCAGAATCAAGCTCTGACTCTCATGTTAGTGTTTGTGCTGCCTGTAACATAGTTACCCATGTTGGTGTCTGTGCTGTTCAGACTTTGGCAAGGGAAGAAAGAAAATTTGAAGAAAGAGCGTCAAGACAACCTTGAGAAATCCACTCTGGGTTCAGCTGCTGGCTCTCGTCGGCGCTCCCAGAACGTTTGTTGACTGAATAAATGAATGAAGGTAGCTCTGGAGTTGTTTCACACTAAGGGCAAAGGGAACTGGAACAAGAACGGGCGAGAACTTAACATTAAATAGGACCCCTCTGCTCTTCGTTTGTTTCCAAACTGTTAGATTGCCCCCCCCTCACATCCCAAATTTGCTAAAAGTGGTCGATTTAGGACGCTGCTGCTGCTCTGTGGGCGGAGGCTACAGTGAAAACGAGAAGAGAATTGGGAGTTCGCGATCAGGCCGCTACCAAGGGTAGTAACTGCTTGGGAACTTTCCAGAATAGCCTCGGGACCGCGGGAACTGCAAGGAGAGATCTCAGGTAGCGAGTGCCAAAAGAAGAGCCAAATGATTTCGTAGAGAAGGGAAGCTGGAGTAAAAACCTCCCAATTAGACTGCTGTAAAAAACGGGTTTTCCTACCTCCCCAAATGAGACATGCACAGCTGGGAACGGGAATGGATCCAGGAATATTCCCACATTCGCCGAGTGGCTTCCCTGAAAGCTGAGTGGAATGCACTTCTTTTGAGATGCGAATCCTGCTCCCAACAGGGAAAATGTCTGTTCTCTACAAATTTATTTTCTTAAAGAGGCCTGATAGGCGTTCTCACCTGGTTTCCCTCCCGCTAGGTCACCTGAGGCCAAGTAACAGCTAAACCTTTCTGGTTGCAAAACGCTTTCAGAAATGTTTTAAGAAGAAAAGTTTTGAAAATTCTAATGCTTTAAAAAACATATACTGTATCGCCCTCTATTTTCCCTGAATATTTTGGCCACTCCATTGCAAACTGACCCCAAACTGTCCTTTGGTTTATTCAGGAAGAAAAAAAAAAACCACTTTAGAAAGACGGAAAATAAATGGAGAATATATTTACATTTTCCCTAATCCTTCTTCTAGATGAATACTAAATCTCCTATTTTAAAAGCCAGGACTTTTTCAACCTCAAATATTTAAAAATTTAAAAAGCCATATTAAAAAATGAAATGTTTCTGCTATCTATAATAAATATGAACTGTACAAATACATTAACTGGGAGAAGAGAATATAAGTTTCAAAAGAAGTTTCATGGTCACAGTGGAAGAGTGTAGGGCACACCTCTTGGGTGTGGAGCACGGCTACAGGAGGGACTCTACCTAACAAATGGAAACTTTGTACCCTAGTTGTTTGTACCCTCACAGTAACCTGAAGCTTAAAAAATAAAAATTCCATTTATAAAGTGCAATAAAAAAACGAAGTAGTGCAGTAACTTAGCATTTTATTTCGTCTATATAGCGAGGCTTAGTTTTAGCTCCATTAAAGATGGCATGTTAGACACAGAGATAAGAGATATAAATGTTCCGAAATTTAAAGTTTACTTCTATTACATATCGCTATCAGGAAGACACGGGGGTTGTCACCATTTTGCACTCGACTTGTGAATAATACTTGCAGTTTCTTGAGAGTGAAGAGAGGGGAGGGAATATGTTTTGTATTGGAGACGGTTTTTCTTTCTAGACCTGAAATAACACCCCACTCACGTTCACAGGTCCTCGGGAAATGTGCAAATCCGGGTAAGTGATGGAGGCTACAATTGAAGGCAAAGCCATGGCGACTACACATCCTTTGGAGTTTACGTTTAGGTTGTCCTAAAAGGAACAGGGATCCAATTGGTCGTTTGTAACTGTTTTGCAGTGGGGTGAGGGGACAAAACTAGTACTTGCTGCCGGTCGCTCCGCCCTCCCACCCGGCTCCAGGTGTGCCCTGCATAGTCTCCCAGGTAACTGGGCGTGAGTGCCATTCAGTAGGCTGGCAAGGTTCCCTCTCCGCTCAAGGGGGAGGCCGGCGATGTCAGTCTAGAACCCTCTGCGGAGTTCTGGTACTTCATCAGGGCTGCGGCAGCGGACAAGTGACGATCCAGCAGCCCTCCCTTGCTGGGAGCGCAGCTGCTGGCGCAGTCCTGCAGTTGCTGCTGCTGCTCCTGCTGCAGCAGCAAAAGGCGTCGGGCGGCGGCGGCGGCAGACACGTGCAGCAAGGGGGCAGTGGCCTGGTGATTCAACAGGCTAGACGGGCGCTGTAGCAGGTGGCAGTAGCCCCACGGGGCCGGGGGCAGACTCTGCGCGGTCCCTGTACCTCCTTCCCTGACCCCTTGCATGATACTCTCGATGCTGAAAGAGGTACATCCACCTCTCAGTCGCGAGGCCAGACCCTTGCCCTCTTCCCAAGGCTGGGAGCCCGCGGAGGGCTGCAGCGCCGGGAAGACGCCGGGCCTCTCCAGGTCTGCCCCTTCTGATTTCCTCCGCGCCGTGGCACAGGCTGGGGCCGAGAGCAGCAGATAGCGAAGGGGATGCGGGTGCAGCAGTGCGGTCGGGCGGCTGCCCGGGGCGGCAATAGGGTGAGTCCCCGGGACAGGAGGGGCTGCGGATCCGAGCAAGAGGCCCGGTTGGGGACCTTGCAGGACGGTGGGTGCAGGGGCCAGAGGGAAGGGGTGGTGCAGGTGGGCTCCCGGGGGCGGGTGGTGGCGCTTGAACCGCTTCCTGCGCCGGAGAAAGCTGCCGTTGTCGAACATGTCCTGGGAGGCGGGGTCCAGGCTCCAGTAGTTGCCCTTGCCCGGGTGGCCCGGCTCGCGGGGGATCTTGACGAAGCAGTCGTTAAGAGACAGGTTGTGGCGGATGCTGTTCTGCCAGGCGGGGAACTTGCGACGGTAGTAGGGGAAGCGGCCGCTGATGAAGGCGCAGATGCCACTGAGCGTGAGGCGCTGGTGCGGGCTCTGCAGGATGGCCATAGTTATAAGCGCGATGTAAGAGTATGGGGGCTTCGCCAGCTGAGGGGCGTCCCCAGAGGACGCCGCAGACGTGGTCGGTGCCTTGAAATTGGCGCCCAACTCTGCAGGGTCGCTCCGGCGGCCGCCGCCCTCGGGGCACTCTCGGGGAAGCGCGCCAGCGCCCCGCCGCGTCCCCTGCGGCTCTAGAAACCGCGGGCTGGCCTCCGACTCCGGGTCTTCCTCCTCCTCCCCGGCATCTTCGTCCTGTCTCAGAACATAGATCTCACCATCTTCTCGGTCGGAGCCCGGGAGGCTGCGCTGCCGTGTGGAGCGCGGCCGCCCAGCCCTTGGCAAGTCCATGGAGGAGCAGGTCCTGCAGGCGCAGGCGAGGCGGCGGCTGCCGCTCACCTGGCTTGGGGTGGGCTGGGACCGAAGCCTGGGATGAGAAGCAGGAACGCTCTCGGTTACCCTGTTAGGTGTCCGTCCGCCTGTTCTTCCTACCCTGTGTGGACTGCCCCCTTTATACCTCTTCTTCCCTACTTCCAAGCAGTGCCACTTCTGACGCATCCAGTGATGAGGTCAGCTGTGCAAACACCCACCCAGGAAGAGCCCTCAGCCCCCTCCTCCTCGCGCCCACCCGCCACCAAGGAAGATGCTCCGTACTTCGGGCTCAGCCAGCCGGTTGACCCGTCTTTGAATAGGCTCTGTTAATACGCTTTCTTTTCTTTTTCTTTTTGTCCAGGGCTGGGTTTGAACCCACCACCTCCGGCATATGGGGCCGGCACCCTACCCTTTTGAGCCACAGGCACCACCCCTGTTAATACGCCTTTTAAAAGGACAAATGAAAACGAGGTAGGTGATACTCCTTATGGCCACCTCGACATGCGCTCTCTCTAGAGAATAGAATTAGGGGGGACACTGAAATGTATACTGCGTTTGTGAAAGAATATGTGACAGTCAAAAGTCTATTTTCGTGTTTCATAGCTGGTCAATAACCCGTTCTCATTGTCCTCGTTGAGAACGGTATGCTGAATTATTTCTAATGTTTTGACTATATCCCCCGAGTGCAAGGGGCAGGGTGTCGGGGTGTGTTGTGTTATCATTACTACTACTACTACCCTCCTCCCCAAAATCTTCTCCTTGACTCGAATTTTCAGAAAAGCCTGAAATGTCGTAGCATTGAATTGTGGATGTTTAGGGTCGGGGGAAGCCAGGCGGGCTAAAGAGGAGTCCTCTAGCCCCTTATAGCAGTAATCTTCCAACTTCTGTGAACATTTAACCACAGTACAAAATACACCACGATCTTACACAAACATGTATACATAAAGGCATTCCACAAAGCAATATACTTATACTACAGGGATCACTGATAATTCTTTTCCGTTTTGTAAATGGCCACAAATAACTACATTGATTTTACCACATACTAATATGGGCCCAGTTTGAAAACTCCTGTTTTCAAAAGTGGCCTCATGCAAGGGATGCCCCCAGTTTATGAAGGTTTCTTTACCCCCTCCTTCCTTCCTTCTTTTCAGAAATGTTTACTGTAATAATAATAAGACTTGGAAGTTCACTGAGGCAAAGGATGGGCCACTGTTGATGGCTTTAAATCACTGGGTCATCATTCAAGTATCCACCATGGAGAACAGCAGTATGACAAGAGCTGTTTACCTCACTCCCCTGAGTGGTATTTGAAAGACTTCCTGTGCCAGAGAAAGTGTTATTTATTTATTAATAACAAGTAAGCACTTGTTTTAAAGTAGCACTACAGTGAAATAATAGTTTAATGTTTGATATATAACTAAATAGTAAGCCATAGTATATATTCATAATTTAAAAGCCACCTACTGGGGAAAAATTTCAGGTGGCATCTAATAAAAAGAGTATAATACTGTATTAAACCATTGATTGCCAATATATAGTGTTTATAAAATGACAATTTTCAGTGAGAAAGCAGAAACCAACTACGTGGGCAAAATATAAGAAAAAGTAGTTTAAAGTAGCCAGTGTCTTGTAGATACAATTGGGGAAAGAGCTTTCTTGCAGATCTTTTTAAAAACTTTATCCTCTTTACTCCTGAGGTTTTTACTAAGTTTCCCCATTTTATATGCAGCTTACAGGATAAATAGCATGTTTTCAGCCTAACAGATTTGTGTTTGAATCCCAAATTTACCAATTTGTGCGATCTACAAAAGGAAGCTCCAGGAGGGCCAGGACAGGTGTCTCATTCAACTTTAAAATCCCAAATGCCGCCCTCTCCCAGCCCCCTGCAGGTGAGGCACATCTCCCATCAGTTTAGAAATCCAATTACCTCAGAAAGGGAGTATTGTTAGTTTTCCTAGAATCAACTCCTATAGGGGTCTAGGTTATTTAAAAATGAAAGGAGAAAAGTGCTCAGAAACAACCCCCCACACATATACATTGATGGAGGTATGTCAAACAGGGCACAGGGGACAAGTGAAAGAGTTCCCAGTGGCCAAAGCTGGGATAATTAGAGCAACAAAATAGATCAGCATTGGATTATAGCCAAAAGTATAAAATATGTGTCCACACAGATAAATGATTAAATTCATAAATGGAAAGAAATCCCTTGCAGAACTTCAAATAAGTGATGAAGATTCTCCACCCTCAAGGAGGGAGAGCCTAACTCCCCAATCCTTCAGTGCAGACTGTGCAGTGATTTCCTTGCAGAGTAACTGACAGTGGAAAAACTTAAAGTACTACACTGGAGAAGTGATCAAGTGGAAGAGTCAATAATAGTCATAAATCATGTTGATAGTTTACACCCTAGGTGTGATGCGATCACCCCAAAATCCACAGTCTAATTATAAGAAAAGCATCAAATTCTATTAATTAAATAATAAAGGAACATCTGTGTATCTGATCAGTACTTCTGAAAACTGTGAAAATCATCAAAACAAAGAAAGTCCAAGAAATTGTCACAGCCAAGAGGAGTCTAAGGAGACATGATTACTACGCATCCTGGATGGGTTTCTAGAATAGAAAAAGAATATGAGGTAAAAACTAAGGCTATCTGAATAAACTATGGGCTTTAGTTATCAATATTGGCTAAGTATAACAATTATACCACATTAGTGTAAGATGTTAGTGGTGGGAGGGATATGGGAACTCTGTACTACCTGCTCAGTTTTTTGGTAAATCTAAAACCGTTCTAAAAAATACATCCATTAATATGAATTTAAAAAATAAACATAAGGCAACAAGGACAATAGCCAAGAAATGGAAACTCAAATGTGCAACATCCAATAAGTAGATAAGTAAAATGTGTTATATCCACACAATGAACAATTATTCAGCAATAACAAGGAAAGACATACTGATACATGTCACAACGTAGATGAACCTTGAAAACATACTGCGTAGAAGGAGTCCAAACAGCAAATATACAGAGACAGAAAGTGGGTTGGGGGCAGGTCAAGGGGAAGGGGAAGTAACTGCTAAGGGATTTAGGCTCTTTTCTTTTTGGGTGATGAAAATATTCTGGACTTAAAAACTGATAATAGTTGTCTGTCTACGGATATTCTAAAAACCATGAATTGTACACTTTAAAAAGGATAAATTTTATGGTATGTGAATTATATCTAAATAAAGTTGTACCAAATACATCAGTGTAAAGATAAAGAGCTGTAGCGAAGAAAACTAAGTTGAATGCTTTGTTCAGACTCCATACTGGAACATCATATAAACAAGAAAAAAGCCAAAGGAACTCTTACTGCCCTGGCTCATCAATTCTGTAGCTCCTGCAACATTTAACACGGGGTCTTGTGCATAGTGGGTACTCAGTCATGTCTGTTGATTACCTTTCTCCTAAGGCTAAATAGCTGTGGGTTTTTTTCTAGAACAAAAGTATCAGGGGTTCATAAGATGCCATCCTAGTTTGAAAAACAAACCTTTCTGAACTAATCTACAGAAGGGATGGTGATGTCTGGTTTCTCCTTATTCCAACCTAAAAATTAAAAGCAATTTGATCATCAGCAGAGTTAAGGTAAGGTTAGTTCTAATATTAAGACTAATTCTGAGAATAGAATTCCAGCATATCTTTTTTCTTATCTAAGCAGTGAGTTGTGTTGCCAGACATTCAAGGGCAGAATTCATTTCTTTTCACATCACCCCTACCAGTTGTAGGGGTGACTTTCCAAAAGTCATTTCAAACCAATCTAAAAATGAAATTTTCCCACATATACCAAAGGAAACAATTCTTCAATTCATAGAAAGCAGCCAAGCCCATAATGTTCCAAAGTATTGATCATCATTTTAAAAGCCTTTTATTTTATTGATTATTGCCTTACAAAATTCACATTCTAGGGCAGGGATCCTCAAACTTTTTAAACAGGGGGCCTAATGGGCCGGACTGCGGTCCTGGTCCTGGGAGGAGTCAGCTGCTAAGCAGGACAGGCAGTGGCAGCAAAAAACACCTAGCAGGCTGAATAAATGTCCTCGGGTGGGCCGCATGTGGCCCACAGGGTATAGTTTGGGGACGCCTGTTCTAGGGATTATAACCTCTAGGAATAAAGATATTTTTGTTTATTCTCAACTGCTACCCAAGTCTGTAAGAACACTTTTTAAACATTAAGATACTGTATATCTGCTTGAAGCAAACAGCCAGAGAAAGAATTCTGGATAGTGTGGAAGATAATTAAAAGCCCCTCTGTTGCAGTCTGCTTAGGAGTCTAACAAGAGGAAATAAGCTATTTGAAGGGTCTTTTCTAATTCACACATTATTGATAACTGCTGAGAGAAGGGAAACTCAAAGGTATCAAGCACTTTTACCAAGGTGACCCTTTGGATTCCCTAGCCCACCCTCACAACATGTGCTAATGCTTTCTACAGCTATCTTAAACTCAGTACCAATTTTCTTGCCCCTCTCACTCACGGCTGGAGAAAGCGTCAGCGGCAATCATTTGTTTTAAGGTTTGCAAAAGCCTGAACTGTATGTATCCAGCCTTGTTGGAAAAGCAAAATTCACATAGGTAGAGACTCTGTATTCAGGGCGCTTTAGTCCTTGGAACAATTCAGAGATTTGCACAGTCACTGTCATTTTATGAATAAGCAGCAGAATCTCAGAGAGATTTAGTGATTTATCCTGTGTTCCTTAATAAACTATAAAAGTTTTAGATGAACCTTGATCATCATCATCATCACCATCATCATCATAACACCCTGTAAGTCTTCTATGGCAAGCAGAATAATGGCCCACATCATTATTATTATTATTATAAAAATAAAACCTCTTCAGGATATCTATAGCAAGTTCCAAAGTCTCCCAAAAGTAGAGTTTAAACTATGGCATTGATTATTGAAAACGACTTCATTTTGGGTAAGTAAAAATAAAGAACAGTACAATGCACCCTTAAATATATATATAAATAATATTAAAAAGTTTGAAATCCAGTTAATATGTTAACTTAGGTTTGGGAAGATGGGTACTTTCATGTACTACTGTATGAAGGCAAAAAGGGCAGTCATTTGGAAGGGCAGTTTATCACTATCTACTAAAAAATACAGATATCCAAATCCTAGAAGCTAATGATTCTACTTTTATTTATCTAGCAATAATATGTATGATAAGTAGTAGGCATGAATGTTCTAGAGAAACAAAGAGGCAGACATTGCAGCACTATTTGCAATGTCAAAAACAGAAACTTGATTCATCTGCTGAAGCAATTACCCTCACATCCTTTCTCCAGCTTACACTTCAGGGGCCACTTCCCAGGGTATCAAGAATAACCCAAACATTTACTGTGTCCTACAAGGACAACCTGACCTGGCTCCCAACTTCAATTTCATCTCATACCTCTGCTTTCTAACCTTCCACCACGGTTACCTTCTTCCTGTTCTCCCGACACACTCTGCTTTTGAGCTATTTGCTCCATTTATGTAGAGACTCCTGTTTTTATGAATGACTCCTTGTCATTTGGTTTTCAGGAGCCACCTCTCAACAGAGAAACCTTCCAAGACCACTTGGTCTAAAGTTGGTCTTTATTTTAATCAGCCTGCTGAGGGTTGCATTCCTTTTTCATTTATGTGTATCCCCCACCAGAACATAGCAACGTGAGAACCTGGCCTTTATTTGTTGGATGCAACTTCAGCCTCTAGACTAGCACATAGGCAAACCGGAAGCTCTCAAGAAATGTTGTCATTAAATGAATGTCTTTTATGTTAAACTATGCACTTCTGTACAGCAAAGAATAAAAGAGATTTATATGTACTGTCATGGGAAGATTTAAGACTAGTAGTTGAGTTTGTATTTTTTAAGCAAAATCCATTGTAATACATAAAAAATGAAGTTTTACCATATATATGCACATTATAAAAATAAAACCTTCCCTTAAAGATATTTATGGCAAGTTTCTAACTTGCCTGAAGCAGCAGCTTAAGTTATGGCTCTGATCCACCCTCAGTAGAGTGCTATGACGTCACAGCTCACAGCAACCTGAAACTCTTGGGCTTAAGTGATTCTCTTGCCTCAGCCTCCCAAGTAGCTGGGGTGCCCACCACAATGCCCGGCTATTTTTTTTTTTTGGTTTCAGTTGTCATTGTTGTTTAGCTGGCTCAGGCAGGGTTCAAACCTTCCAGTCGGTGCATGTGGCCAGCACCGTAACCACTGTACTATAGGGACTAAGCCTATAATGTTGCATTTTTAAAATGAAAATGTATTTATGCAATATGTGTATAATAAACAATAATTAAAAATAAATATATTTTTGAGCAAGACATAAGTTTTATAAATACAGATTTATAATATGAATGTTTGCAATAAGATATTTATAAATAATGTAGATTAATATACATTATTTCAAACATTTCTCCCACAACAAGACCACTAGTTATAAGCCATTTTTCATGGTCTAGAACAGAAAAATCTAGACACTTATTTGCCAAAAAATATTATAATTGTGACCACATTAATTATAAAACAAATTTAAATTGCTAGGAAGAAGAAAATATTTACTCAGGCTCTGCTATGTGCTAAGAGCCAAGCTGGGTGTAACAAATCCATTTAATCTTTGAATGGTTGGTAATACCACTATCTCAGAGTAAATGCTCTGCCCAAGATTACACAGCCAAGAAGCAGAGAAGCTGGAATTAAAGCCCAGATCTAACTCGAAAATCAGATGACTTTCTGTTGAACAATTTGCTGCCACAAAATAACTGTATTCTCTCAACCATGAACTAAGAGAACAGATTCTGAAGGCAACTGGGTGAATACACAGAAATTATACTAAAACGGTTCAGAATAAAGGAGAAGGAAGATCTGAATTATCAAACTAATCGGTAGACCCAAGGAATAAAACAGCAGTAACCAACTTCAGATAATTTGACCAATTAGCTTTCTACTGCCAGCCACTGAAACCATCCCAAATAACACAAATGTAACTCCTTTATCAATATTCTAGGGAAAAAATTCTGAAGGCCATTTTGATAGCCTTCTTTGACATTTAATACCACTAGTAAAATCTACTTAAAACTAAAAGCTCTACAACAGGAATCTTTTAACTATATTACAAAATAAATGGCTGAAGTTTCATTACACTGACTTCCAATAAGGCTCAGAACTGATTAAGAATAGAAAAGAGAGTTTAATTTCTTTGACTCAGATTTCTTCTACTTTTTTGTCTCTAGACACAACAGATCTTTTATTTCATTTCATAAAAATAATGACATTATTTACTTGCTTTAAAAATTTTTTTGTTAATAACAATCATTTTATCTCTGCAATTGGCTGAAGTTCTAAGGAAAAATGACAATACTGAAGACAGTTTTACTATTATTATTATAAATAACTTTGGTGGGTGAGAAATTCAGCATTTGTAAACTCCAAAGCCAATTCTGAAAGGTATTTTTGAAAAACATCTGTCTACAAATATATACACACACACACACATATACATATGTGCATATGCACACACTACTTCAGGGAATATTTTATTGCATGAATGTAAAATGGTTTATGGTACAAATTTACTAAATTTAATGTATTTTGTAAAATAAATACTATTTTATTTTTTTGTAGAGACAGGAGTCTCACTTTATCGCCCTTGGTAAAGTGCCTTGGAGTCGCAGATCACAGCAACCTCCAACGCCTGGGCTTAGGTGACTCTCCTGCCTCAGCCTCCCAAGTAGCTGGGACTACAGGTGCCTGCCACAACGCCTGGCTATTTTTTGTTGCAGTTTGGCCAGGGGCTGGGTTTGCACCCACCACCCTTGGTATATGGGGCCAGTGCCCTTACCCACTGAGCCACAGGCACCACCCAATAAATACTATTTTTAAAGCATACTGGAACTTATAACAGAAGTAACAAGAAGAATAGATGCTAGAAATACTTCATTAGAAACTTATTCTCATTTTTATTATCCATCCTTTTGATAAGAGATGCTTCTAGTGTTATGAATAAACTTGATCTTCTTTCAAATGTTTTGTGCGCCTCTTTTCTGTTTCTGTCACAGTAGCTATAAATAGCTGTTTAAGGATATCCTTATCTAAATTTCTGCCTGCAAACAAAACAAAATACAGTGTGATTATGTTTATTAAAATGTAACCATTCACCTATCCATTCCAGATCACTAAATGGTTAATGATATTCAGAAATTTACAAAAACAATAGTAACTGAGTGATTCCTTCTTTCATTTTCTGGTTAATTCTCTCAAAACAAAATCACTTTGGATTTGGTTGGTGTGAATTAATCACTTTTCTGAAATTGCATGAAAAAGAACAAAAGGCTTTCTAAGTTCTTAGGACTGTTATCACATGATAAAGACAAATACATTAACCACAAGTTTATTTACTTACAACAAGGCAGCAGATTGGTTAATACTTTTTACATAGTACATTATATTCCTTTCTAATCTATTTTTTACTCTTTTTAGACGTTTAACCCTTTGTCACTTACCAATAAAGACCAATCGATTTGTTCTCTCGGTGTCATCTTTCCAGCTCACTGGAGCTTCCTCCAGATCATAGAGCTCATGGACACCCTGGACAATCACTTGCTGTGGTTTGTCTCTGATTGACACCAGCCCCTGCTCAAAGAAGAACTGACTGATCATTAATCGGCCTCAACTAGAATTTAAAAGCAGAAATGGAGCGTCAACATTTACTGATTACTGCTATTCATCTTCAACATAAAAAGTTCATAAAGACACTGTGGAAATTACTTAATCCCAATTATTTGTGCATTTAAAGAGTTTTTTAAAACCTCCAATTAAAAAAAAGTTTCTGTGCCCTGATTTTTTTAAACAATCCTTTTTGTAATAATAAAATAAATACCTATATTAGGATGTTCTTTCAATGTTATTTATCAGAACTAAAACCTGAAGCAACAAAATAATAAAACATAATATGTGGCTCAGCACCTGTGGCTCAAGTGGCTAAGATGCCAGCCACATACACCCAAGGTGGCGGGTTCGAATCCGGCCCAGGCCTGCCAAACAACAATGACGGCTGCAACCAAAAAATAGCCGGGCGTTGTGGTGGGCGCCTGTGGTCCCAGCTACTTGGGAGGCAGAGGCAGGAGACTCGCTTGAGCCCAGGAGTGGGAGGTTGCTGTGAGCTGAGATGCCACGGCACTCTACCCAGGGGGACAGCTTAAAGCTCCTGTCTCAAAAAAAAAAACAAAACATAATATGTGTCATATCCTACTGATAATTTTATTCATTATTTATTTTTTTGAGACAGAGTCTCACTTTGATGCCCTTGGTAGAGTGCCATAGCATCATAGCTCACAGCAACCTCAGACTCTTGGGCTCAAGCGATTCTCTTGCCTCAGCTTCCTGAGTAGCTGGGATTACAGGTGCCCACCACAACACCCATTTTTAGAGTTGGGGGTCTCATTTTTGCTCAGGCTGGTCTAGAAGTTCTGAACTCAGGTAATCCACCCCCCTCAGCCTCCCAAAGTGCTAGGATTATAGGTGTGAGCTACCAGACCCAGCTCTGATAATTTTAAGGATTTCATAGCTGTTTCATAGTTTAAATGGGAAAATTTGAGAAGATAAAGGATTTTAGTGAGATTAAATAATTTATTTTAAAGATCTATTGTAATCAATGGAGTAGATAATGAATTAAAGGAAAAGAAAATTATATTTATCTGGATAAAAGTTCATTTTGTATTGATTTGCAGGAATAAAGAACAAATTATCTGATAAACTGGTTCCTATGGGGATAAAATGGATTTCTGAAAAATGCTTGCTATATATACAATATTTGTTATAAAACACATGTATTTTAAAACGGTAGGAAACAAACCACTCTTAGTCATTCTTAACACAATTTTTGTGTATTTTAGGAATATTTGTATATTTTAGGTGTATTTTCTTCTAGTTTTTCTTCTGCTATGCCCAGTTTATGTTCTGCTCTTTAGATTTAAATTTTTGTAATAATAAACTGCTTGGCATGAATTACATAAGCATCAATTTGCATTACTCGTGTAAAGATGTTGAAGTACTGTCTGCAGTTACTAGACTTAATTCCATGTAGTGGGGTTGGTGGCAGAATTAGTGTAAATGCCCAAACTGCCACTTTTCTATATAACCAGCCCTCAGTCAGTGCTAGGGGATAAAAACACTTGCCTAATATTCTCTGCCAGTGAGAACCACAGAATGCAGATGGGGTTACAGTCATAAAGCAGCAGCAGGATCCGGCTTAGTAAGTTCCCTTAGTTCCTTTGAGTGGGAGTGATTTGGGATTCACTTGTTTTGCTCTGCAGAACTGACCCCAGGTAGAGCCAGGAAAAGATTGAAGAAGTTTAGATTTAAATAGTTTCTTGAGAGAAGGGAGCACTTACACTGTTGGCAGGATTGCAAACTAATAGAGCTCTTTTGGAAAGAAGTATGGAGAACCCTCAAACAGCTAAAATAGACTTTTCATGTAATTCTGCAATCCCATTACTAGGTAATACCCAGAAGAAAAAGTAACATTTTACCCTAAGGACATGTGCACTCGAATGTTTATAGCAGCTCAATTCACAATCACAAGGATGTGGAAACAATCCACGTGCCCACCAACCCATGAATGGATAAACTGTGGTGTATGTATACTATGGAATACTACTGAGCCATAATGAAAGATGGAGACTTTACATCTTTCATATTAACCTGTATAAATTTGGAGAACATTCTTCTCAGTAAAGTATCACAAGAATGGAAAAGCAAGCATCCAATGTACTCAACACTAATATGAAATTAGATGAACAATTACAGGTCACACAGAGAGAAAAACAAATGTAAATTCAAGAAGGGGGGGAAGAGGAGAAGGTGTGGTAAGCTCTCACCTATCTGGTACCATGTAAGGGGATATGGCGCACCTCCTGGAGGAAGGGCTCAACTAACTTGGACTTTACCTAACAAACGGAAACAATGTAACCTAATTATATGTACCCTTACTTTAATCTGAAATAAAAAAATAAAAATAGTTTCTTGATAGTCTTAAACTCTGTTCACTGTAGCAACCCCAGGAAATCGGTCACTAATTGGAGAGAGAATCTATTAATAGTAATAAAAATAGGCTCAGCACCTATAGCTCAACCGGCTAAGGCGCCAGCCACGTACACCTAAGGTGGCGGGTTCGAATCCCCAGCCCGGACCCGCCAAACAACAATGATGGCTGCAACCAAAAAATAGCCTGGTGTTGTGGCGGGCGCCTGTGGTCCCAGCTACTTGGGAGGCAGAGGCAGGAGACTCGCTTGAGCCCAGGAGTTGGAGGTTGCTGTGAGCTGTAATGCCATGGCACTCTACCCAGGGGGACAGCTTGAGGCTCTGTCTCAAAAAAAAAAAAAAAAATAGTAATAAAAATAAACACTAATAACAAAAATTTTATGTGCACTTGTGGACACATAAGAGTAGATCCTCAAATGACTGTAGATTGGTTAGGCATATAGCCAGAAACCCTGCCTCCTGGAGAAAACACCTTTCATGACATAAATACCCAAATGTCAAATAATATGAATGGATTTCCAAACACAAAACAAAAATTCTTCTGGTCCTTTGTAACTTTAGTTTGTTAAATGCATCAAGAAGCATTGTGTTCAGTAGCAGCAGCAGCAGCATGATCCTCAACATTATTTTTCTGTTAATGAAGCACCCTTGGAAGAGTTTTCCCTAAGTGGCCCATCTGTGCGCCAAGAGGAGGAAAGTTTCAGTGCAGTCAAGCTCATCAGCCTGATGAGAGCAGAGGGTACTATTTCAAAGCACACAGATTGTTTTCACAGTAACACGAAGTTAGGCAAATAAATCATGCTTTATGTAATGATCTCTAAACTTCCTTTCAGCAATGGAAATGAAAAAGGAAAATGGAAGCTGACAAAGGTTATTTGTACTAAACCCTGTGCTTCTGTTTAAAACCAAATAGGGGTTTTTATATAATAGCCAAGAAAAGGACTTTGTCCAGAAGTCTACGACAGTAAACTGCATACTGCACCTTCAGCCGTATGACCTCCATGCAGTGATCGTCCTTGTTTCTCACATTCTTTTCCCACAGGAGATTCTGTATCAAGTGACATATATTAATAAGACCAACCATTGCTAACAGAAATAACTATGTAACAAAAAGGTTGATAAATCATTAATCAGTTAAAAATTGCTTTCACCTGAATAAATACATTTAGACTTTCTTCCTTCACATTTCCTGGTACTTCAAACGTGATTGTAACAATACTCTGTAAATCAGGAGAAATAAACAATAATGACCTTTTTATGGTACTGTCAATATATTTTTTTAAAAAATCACAAGTTTAATATGAAAAGGAAAATATTCATGAAATTTTATGTCCCCAACAATATACATTAAGTATTACATTTTTCTCACTATATATGCTGATTTGGGGAGTTGGCAACTCATTTTCTAGACTCTGCAGAGTCGATCGATGGTTTAGTATTTACACAAAACACTATTTTGTGTAAAAAACATTTACACCAAAAATCTTTCATGAAAGGTTCCTCGTCATTTACTTCCTTCTTTTCCTGATTCTCAGCAATAAGGAGGAATATAACATATATGGTGTCCAACTATAGACTGAGCCAGGCGTTTTTGCCTGAGCCATCTCACTTCATCTTTTCATTTACTCTTCTAACAGTCCTTGGGAGTAAAGATAATTATTTCCACTTTACAAACTGGAGAAAATGAACTCTAAGAAAATAAACTACCCAGACTCAGGAGTAATACTCGAAAGCAACAGTGTGAATCTGTTCTCTTGGAAAAATACATACAAAAGAATGGCTTGCTTTTTATCTCTAACTGAACAAGCATGTGGCAAAAGTGGAAGAGTCCCCGGGGATGAGAAGGACGGTGTAATGACACCGTGGGCTTTAGTGCAGCTGACATCATTGATAGGACATCAATGCTAGATTTATTATTCTTCCTGATGTTGATAATTCTCTCACTGACCCTAAAAACCCAGAAATTTGAGATTTCTTCTAATAAGTCATATAATTAAAATCTAAACCTCCTTTTCCCAAATTTCAAACTTAGTGATAAAAATACACAAACGTTAAGCATAACATGAAAAAAACGGAAAACCCACCTTGGAGAATCAGATGCTCAAAAGCTAAGCTCGAAATGGCTTGAAGCAGATAGAAAGAACGCACTAAAGCAGAGTTGTGTGTGACTTTTTATAACTGCTTATCTGGCCGAGACATTTTATTCACCATTAGAAAACCACAGAGGGTTATAGTAGAAAATATGAGAAGACTCAAATTGTTTTATACTCCAAACTTAGAGAACAGCAAAAGGTAAGTATTAAAAACCAATTTAAGCACAAATACATTGACGCTTCATCTCCATTGTTGCCAGTAATAGGAAAAGCAGGAAGTGCTTTCTTGCTTAATATGAGAAATACAAGTCAACTAAAGTTTCAAACTGGACATTAAAATGTGAAACAGTTAAAAGCAACTTTCATCGTCACAACAGTCAAGAGGTGAAAACAAGAAGTAAACATGGTACATATGTATAATGGAATATTATTTAGCCTTAAAGAATCCTGTCACAGGCTACAACATGGATGAATCTTGAGGATGTTACACTAAGTGAAATAAGGCAGTCAGAGAAGGACAAACCCTGCGTACGTCCACTTCTATCAGGCAGCTACAATAATCAAACTTAGAGACCCAGAAAGTAGAATGGTGGTTACCAGGGGCCAAAGGCAGGCAGAAATGGGGAACTGCTGTTCAATGGGTATAGTTTCAGTCACACAAGATAAAAAAGTTCTAAATGCCTGTTGTACAACAATGTACATACAGTTAATAATACCATATTATGTGCTTAAACATTTCCTCAGAAGACTATACACCTATACAGCATGTTACTATCTGACTAGTGTGAGGAAATAATAATACAATGCTAAGTACAGTAGAACTCTGTAAGTTGGTCACACAAGTGACTTTACCAAACTGGTCAACAGACAGAGGTGGTCAACAAAAGGAACTAGCCCCGTTACATACGGAGTAAATGTGGTATGTGTCCAGTCTATGAAAATTAGGTCAACTTAAGAGGTGGTCAACTATGGAGGTTCTACTGTATCTGTATAATAGGAATGTTTCCGCTCTATTAAAATCTTATGGGACCACCCATATGTGGTCCATTGTTGACCAAAAAGTTACTATGCAGCACGTGACTGTACTTATTTTGAAATCTTAATAAACATATTCTGCTTTTAAATTATTTGGTTTTTATAGTTTAAAGTAATAATAGCATGCATTTTAAAATAATTATTTCTTTCCATCACTAAAGAGATCACTACAAATACCTAAAACTCCCTACCAAAATATATAGCAAAAGATTGCCAGGTAAAACACAATTTGTTAGTTTCAAAGGAAGTAATTCAGTCTTCAAAACTGTTCAAAATGGGGCAGTGCCTGTGGCTGTAGGGTGCCGGCCCCACATGCCACAGGTGGTGGGTTCAAATCCAGCCCTGGCCAAAAACTGCAAAACTGTTTAAAATGTATTTTAATCAAGTTGGATAACTTGGCCTTCAATACTGAGAATGTCTCAATATAGGACTCAATATAATTCTATTGCTTTAGCATTAAAAGATTTTTATAATGATTTTTGTTCTTGGCAAGTTAGAGATATAATTTCATACTTTTGAAGGGTACAATTAACTCCAGTGTGAGACAAAAAAGGCATTAAAAATTAAGATAATGCATCATGGGGCTCAAAGAGGGCAATCTATATTTTGGAATCAGCTATATTTCTAAACCAATAAATTCTTCCTTATATTAGAAAAACCCTTAAAAAAAAGGACGTCCATATGGCTCAGCGCCTGTGGCTCAAGTGGCTAAGGCGCCAGCCACATACACCTAAGGTGGCAGGTTCAAATCCAGCCCAGGCCCGCCAAAACAACAATGACGGCTGCAACCAAAAAATAGCCAGGCGTTGTGGCAGGTGCTTGTGGTCCCAGCTACTTGGGAGGCTGAGGCAGGAGACTCTCTTGAGCCCAGGAGTTGGAGGTTGCTGTGAGCTGTGATGCTACAACACTCTACCCCAGGGGATAGATTGAGGCTCTGTCTAAAAAAAAAAAAAAAAGGACATCCATAAATTATCTGTGCAGACAAGTGTCATAATTCACATTTCATAATGGGCTGCAGTAAGAAACTAAGCCTAGGCACTGCCGCTTGGGTTTTCTCTTCTACCTTCCCACTCTCTAACTCCGGGTCTTACTTATGGAGTAAACAAGAAATCTGTGAAAAATAGAGAACTACACTGAATATTCAGAGAGAAAACTTAAATAGCACATGCATATTATATCCTAAGTATTATCCATTTCAGAGTTTTTCTAGTTTATTTTTGCTTTGGATCTAAAATTAATTCTCCTTTTCCCACGTGTGCAGACCCAGAAAGAAATAGAAAAATGAGCAATAGTTGAGAAAACTAAAGATAAGGAAATGCCTCTAAAATAAAATTCAGGAATAATTCACATTTATTTGGTCTGGTTTTTCTTTAACCCATGAGGACAGCAGTTCTCAACCTGACGGTCATGACCCACAGGAACTGTATTCAAGGGTTGCGGCATTAGGAAGGTTGAAAACCACTGCACTAGGATATTTCTGAGTTTTCTACTCTTTTGCAAACAATACCTCATATGCAATAACCTCTACATGTTTTCTTCATCTGGGACACTCGGCCAACTAATATGTAGTATGTTTAAACTCAAAGTGTGACCCTCCACACTCTAGCGCTCCCTAGATATTTCATCAAAATCCCTTCCCCTTCCAGACTTCTCTAATTCTAGCTAGTTCCTCTAGTCAATCCAGGCTTGATTCTCATCACTCTTCCCTCTTCTTAACCAATCCAGACTGAAAACAGGAAATTCAGGTCATTCTACCTGTCAAAACCTGCTCTTGCTTTATCCCATTTCTAGTTTCATGTAATAACGTGGTTCAGGCCCTCATCATGCGGCAGCTACCTTCTTGGCCTCCTGACTCTGAAGTCCAATCCAGCCTAAGTAACTGCCAGATAGCAAAACATGAGTTCTCTGTGCCTAGCAAATTAAAGCCCCAACACCTTAGACTTGGATTCCAATACCAATGATCCGCTAAAACTTTGCCATTAGAAACCTGCTCTTCTGGAAGATTCTCACTTCTAAACGCCTAGATTGCACTTGTCCCTACTTCTTCCTGTCAGGAAAACCCTACCAGTATAATGCTACATTTTGGCATATAAGTCAGAATAGCAGTTACCCCTTCTATGACTGGGAAGGATTATCTTTATCAAGATATGGGGAATCACAAGAATATCGTTTGTATGTGCACATGGATACACATGTTGAAGTTACATGCCTTTCTATGTATAAAAATAAAAGCAAACCCCACTATCTTTCATGAAGCCTCTGATAGGGATCAGGACATGATATCCCAAAAAAGGCACCTCAGTATTTGAGAAAACAGCAGAAGCAGAAAGGTCACTCTTACTTCCCCCACCCTCCATCCTATTCCCCTATCCTCAAACAAGTCATGAAATCTAGGAAGGATTTTCTGGGTTTTGGTTTTTTTTAGAGTCTCACTATGTCCCCTTTGGTAGAGTGCCATGGCATCACAGCTCACAGCAACCTCAAACTCTTGGACTTAAGCTATTCTCTTGCCTCAGCCTCCCGAGTAGTTGGGACTACAGGTGCCCGCCACAACTCTGCTGTTCGGCCGGGGCCGGGTTTGAACCTGTAACCCTCAGTATATGGGGCCAGCGCCCTACCCACTTAGCCTCAGGCGCTGCTCCATGCTTGGCTATTTTGTTGTTGTTGTTGTAGCTGTCATTGCTGTCTGACAGGCCCAGGTCAGGTTTGAACTCACCAGCCCCAGTATGTGGTTGGCACTCTAACAGCTGAGCTAGGAGGGATATTCTGACCTTCCCCTAAGGCAGATTTTAAGACTCTCATTTAAAAGGTACCTTCCCTAAACCCAGAAAAAAGGATCATCCTTATTTCTGAAGACATGGGTTCACAGAGAAGAATCTCAACAAACAGGCCTCACTAAGTTCCTCCTAGTTTATTACCATTAGATCACACTTTTTTATCCAATTGTAATTCTCTAGGACTGTCCACTTCTACATCATAGTAAGCATCAAAATACACAGGTTTTGGCGGTGCCCATAGCTCAGTGGGCAGGGTACCAGCCACATACATTGTTTTAGTGCCTGGGCCAGCTAAAACAACAACAACAAAAAAAAAAATAGCAGGGTGTTGTGGTGGGCGCCTGTAGTCCCAGCTACTTGGGAAGCTGAGGCAAGAGAATCACTTAAGCCCAAGAGTTTGAGGTTTCTGTGAGCTGTGACTCCTTGACACTCTACCAAGGGCAATATAGTGAGACTCTGTCTCCAAAAAAAAAAAAAATAAATAGGTTTACCCATTTCATCAGGTCTTCTCCTTATGAAGGATCTTATGTCATACAAAAACTTAATAAATTTGTACACTTTTCTATTGTTAATCTGCCATCTGTTACAGGGATCTTAGCCATGAGTCTACAGATGGGTAAGGAAAAGAGCTATTTCCTCCTCTACACCTCAGATCCACTAAGCCAATGAGACAGTTCATGGCTCCGAATTCCACAGCCCTTTGTCTGTGATATATTTTGCTTTATGTTTATATATCTAAAGCAGGAAAGTATATCACCATCTCCCAGAGCTTAAAAAAAATTTAGACATGCCTTATTTACTTATGAAATGACATCATGCTTGGGATTTGTCCAGCAAGAGTGATAGACACATACAGGCTTATTATACTATTCTACTTTTATGTATGTCTGAAATTAACTATTAATTTTTTTTAATATTCCATCAAAAGAAGTGTTGAGAAGATCGATGAAATATCAATCAGCAATCAAATCAGCCAAATGTTGATGTTATTTAAACCAAAGAATGCATACAGGAGCTCATTTTACTATTCTCTTCACTTTTGTGTATCTTTAAACATTTCCATAGTAAAATGTTAAAAATACACATCAATTCTTCACACACACCCAAGCCCCAATCCCTGAGACGGGAACTACTGACTATCAACTATTCTTAAAAAAAAAAAAAAAAAAAAGCTCCACAAGTGATTCTGATTTATATCCCCCTTCTAAAATCAGAGCTTTTCATTCTTTTAACAAATATTCATCAACAACCTACCATATACCAAGCCCATGCTAAGCTATGAAGGATTTATATTTAAGGAATTTATAAACCAATGTAAGAGAAATGCATTTCAACTAAAACTACAAGGCCTTATAAATGCCATGATATGGGTACATATAGGATACTAACAGGTGTATCCTACGTTTTCTTCATCTTTTAATATCTCTGATGTCCTTATCCAGAAGATCAGTAATAATGTGTTCCAAGTTTATCTTTATGACTAAGAGTATCATAAACAGTTGGGTTCTCCCAAAAATTCTACCTCTGAGGACTTGTATTTCTCTCATTCCCTCACTTTAAAGATAAATATTCTATTGAGATATTCTCAAAGAAAGGTGCCAAAAACATGATAGTATAGTCTAGCTCCCCATAAATATGAGCCAAAATAAAGACATATGAACAAGTGGCTGCTGTGATCTTGGCCCTATCACAACTAATATTAATTCAAGAGCTAAGTGATTGCTTCCAGAGGAGGGAAGATGAGGCACACTGCTTACGCACACATCCTCTAGCCCCAGGTTTTAAATATAACAAAGAAATTCCTACAGCTCTATCATCTATGACCTAAGTAACAGAAACATGGGTACAATGAAAATATAGGGTACCCAAAAAGTTACCATAGAGAAAATGGGAATTTGTACTAAATGTACCTTTATTTACAAAATACTCTTTACAAAATCTTACAAAATATTTACAAAATATTCCCTATTCTCCACCTCTTTTAAGATTTTGTAAAGGATATTTTGTAAACAAAGGTACATTCAGCTACAATTTTCCATTTCCATATGTATGGCAACTTTAGGGGTGACTTTTGGGGTACCCTGTATATCTAGTTTATTCTTAGCAGCTTAAATATGTTCCTGAGATTAGAATTTTAGAGCATAAAAAACACCTTAAGGAGTTTTAATTTACAGTTTTGACTAAAGGTGAAACTCAAAGTCAATTTTTATTGAAATAAGCCATGCCTCGATCAGACTCCTCCATCATCAATTCAATATAGTTAAAAAAGACTGTCAGGGTACTTTTAAGTAGTAAATTCCATCAGAAGAATTGATCAAAACATGCAAGTGACCTACAGAATGAAGAAGCGAGAAATCATGATTTCCTAAGATTCTTAACAACTCTGGTTTGATGAATTCCTTCCTATTATGTGTTAAAAAGCTGGATCAGATGCTCTCAAAAGCATTCAAAATTCTGAAACCATCAACACAGCTCAAAAATAACACTTTAGAAAGTGCTTTAATAAGACAGACCTAAACATAGCTCACTTAAAGAGATACTTTAGAAACATTTTAATAATTTTTTTTTTTACCTGGTCAAGGTGAGGTTGTATTGCTGGCACAAGTTGAAGTTTTTTCTGCAAACTAAGAAAAACTAATTATAAATTTACAGATCAATGCACCTGTAATCTAATTTTATACATTACTTAGTAACACAAAGCTAAATAAGAATTTCCATAAGTGAATCTATTCCACAGTTCCAATTTTACATTTTGTTCCCGTAGTCTAACAGAGAAAAGCTAGAAAATTAGGTTTAAAAATTTCTTGCAAATATACACACATTCATATATATACATATGCATAAAGGGAAGAACTAATCTTTTAGCAAAAACTATTTTGTGTGGTTAAATATCAGATTTCTTTATAATTACAACAGGTGTTACACAGGAATAGAAAAATACATATAACCATTTTAGCACTGCTCAGTTTCTTAATTCTCCCCATGCTTCCTAATATGAAAACACTGGCACCTAATGTAAGTTAGAAGGGTACACTTTCCTTTATCAGTGTTTTCCCTTGAATATATACACTTATTACAAAAATAACATCCATAAATATTAATCTTTTATGTAGTCAGTAACTGGTTAAGAAAAAAACAAACAGAATCTTAAAAATGCATTGTTCTGACATGAAACGAACAAGATCAATATGGCATAACATATTACAACCATAACAACTGTAGCATACATTTAGACACTGATGGCGACAAAATGGGAGGGGGAAAGGGACTTAAAACCTTGCAGATGTTTTGCCTTGAAGGATGGTGAGGGGTGAATTAGTAACAGCAAGTTTGGGTAAGAGAAAGGACTTATTGGAAGTGTTGGAGGGAATGAGTCCCATTGGGGGGTCAGAGCAGGGAGAATGTCAAATTAAATCCTTCCCAGCTGGTTGCTTAGGAAAGGCGTCTCCCCATTTAGCGGCTAAGCACAAAAAGAAGTTATGCAAAGGCCCTATCTATAGTGGTGGGATCACATAAAATAGTTACATTTTTAAGTGTCACTAAAGCATTATAACTGCTCTTAATCAAGTGTAGAATGAGACTAGTTTCAAAAATCTTTGAAAAATCATGTGCTTTTTCACATGTTCAATATTTAATGTTGTTGGACAATGTGTAAAATCTCATATGCAAGCAAAAAGTCAAAATTAAATCTAACAATAAACATTTAAGTTTCTAGTCTCAGAAAAGTGTAATCTAGTGGACTAGCATATGCTACCAAAACCTAAAATTTGTGATTTAATTAAAGATTAACTTGTAATCTTGTAACAACTTTTGTCTCTATTCTAACAAAGTGCATAAATCTAAAATAATTTAATGTTTCAAATATAAACCATTATGTTCTATAAAAAGCAATAATTCAGTGGCAGCACCTGTGGCTCAAAGGAGTAGGGCACCAGTCCCATATACCAGAGGTGGCAGGTTCAAACCTGTCCCTGGCCAAAAAAAACCAAAAACAAAAACAAAAAAAACCCTGCAAACCCCCCCACCCCCTGAAAAACACAATAATTTAACTGTAGTCATAGTAAGATGGAACTAGCAATATTTCTATTTCTCCCAAGTAAAAATACAGAATGATATAAAGGGCTGGAAGCTTTGATGAAATACCTCTATTATAGAAAATTATAGCAAAAGACATTAAGTAGAAAGGGAAAAGAAAAATTGAGACGTTAAATATCAAAGTAAGAAATGATATCATACTATAATTCTTTTTTTAGGAATAAAATACTAAAGGATACAATATGAGGAAAAAAAGATTTCAACTGAGAAATGTTTTAGTGTTTTACATATTAAATGGCAGTTAAATTGCAAGCACTTAGATCTAACAGAGATAATTTGAAGAAAGGCCAACTTCCTGTTAGTATAGGTTCACTTTTCTCCCTTGTAAACATATTTAAATGTATCACAGGATCTATAACCATCAAAACTGCCCATAGCCTCTAATAAAGTACGAGTTCCAAGCCAGGTGTGGAGGATGAGAAAATGAGCGCAGGACTAACTGCTGAGACAAGATTAAGTAAGCAAATGAAAAGTGCTGGAGAAGAAAAGGGTCAGCAAGATAAAGGTGAGCCTGGCTGGCTAGACTTCTCATCATCTCAGATACAGATCGCAAAGACAAAGGCTCTTACACACCTAGAATTAGGTGACAGCCTCAGCCACTCTATCTCCCTAGTAAAATCACAACAAAGAAGGGAAAAAAGAACATTTTAAAATGACCAAAAAGTGAAAGTCTTTCGTTTCAGATTAGATGCACAAGGGTTTTGTATGAAAACACTTAGTATACGTCTGAGTGATTTTCATGCTCCACACGCAATCCATATCATCAAGCGTCAGTGATACTGGGCACCCGAAGCTCACATGAGGGAAAAGGATCCTGAATGCCAAAAGGAGATTTCACAACTTTGTACCGAGCGGCCTTAAAAGATAAAACTATTTCTACCACCAAGAAACAACTAGTCATTTTGACCTTATATAAGAATTAAAAAAGAAAAAAAAAACTAATCGCTGACATGTAATTCAAGTATACTAAACTTTGTTGCCTTCCTACCAACTGGGACTAGAAAGGCAAATGTTAATTTTTACCAGGTACTCTGAATGTATCTTTGTAATTTTAACTTGTTATTCATTTACTCTAAAAAGCTATTGCTCCAACACTAGAGGCTATAGGTGAAATAAACAGTTCTCAACTGAACTCAATTGACATCTCGAATGACTCTGTCACCTTACAAGTTCACTCTAGGTTTAAGATTCTAAACAGAGAAGGAGATAACTGGCCCTGCATATCCCATACCTCTAAGTGCTGAAATAATCTCAAACATTTTTTTTTTTACAAACTAAAAGTGAATTTAAACTCCAATTTATAAGGTAAAAGAGGTCAAACATGGTAAAACATTGTCATGCCCTATTCTTGCAAGTTAAATGCTGGTTTTTTTATTTTTGAGACAAGAGTTTTACTATGTCACCCTCGGTAGACTACCATGGTATCACAGCTCACAGCAACCTCCAACTCTTGGACTTAAGTGATTCTCTTGTCTCAACCTCCCGAGTAGCTGAGACTACAGGCACCCGCCACAACACCTGGCTATTTTTTTGGTTGCAATTGTCAGTGCTGTTTAGCAGGCCCGGGCTGGGCTTGAACCCATCAGCTTTGGTGTATGTGGCCAGCGCCCTACTCGTTGAGCTATATAGGGCGCCGAGCCTAGATGCTATTTTTTAAATGTGAGCAATGTAAAGACTAAGTGGGGGGAACAGTTGAAGATGACAATTCGTTTTTTAAAGGCATGGCTAAGCCAAAATTAGAAATACATACAGGAATGGGAATTAGAAGTCTCAAGTATAGAACCCCTTACCATGCCAACTCTTAAACAAAACTGCTTCACCAGTTCAAAATGGACACCAGTGTGGTGTCCACTTTCAATACATGAGACTTAAAAAGATTCCAACTGCAGCATTATTTGCAAGAGCCAAGATGAGGAAACAACCCACATGCTCACAGATAAATGTACTAGAAACACATAATGGAATAGTATTCAGCCTTCAAAAGGAAACCATGATCATGTGACAATGTGTATGAAGCCTGAGGAATTATGCTAAGTGAAATAAGCTGTCACGAAGGATGAATAATGCATAATTCCATTTACATCAGGTAATTGAACAGTCAAACTCACAGAAACAGAGAGTAGCATGGTGGTGGCCAGGTCTGGGCAGAGGGAGAAATGTGAATTGCTATTCAACAAATATACAGTTACATAAGATTAGTAAGTTCTAAAGATCTGCTGCCCATACATCATTATGCCTATACTTAAAAATACTGTTTTGTATATTTAAAAATTTAAGAGAGTAGATCTCATGTTAAATGTTCTTATCACAATGAAAAGATCTCCTGCCCCAGAGAAAACTGATCCATCATTAATGAGAGAAGAGAATTATGTGACTACCCTAACCTAAAATTTTCTATGTATTTCATGCATTTTCCCACAGAAAGAATGTTATACATAGTGGTTGGTATAGAAATATTAGCAATTAGTCTCTAAAGTTTACTATAATTTCTAGAGGAAAATGTGTTATGATTTCCAAATAACCAATTAACAAACTTTCAAGAACATAACTAAGGATGGTCTTATGTGCCAAAGGAATGGACAGTAAGCTTCAATCAAAGGTGCAATTGTACACATCATTCCTGTAACTGTGGAATAAAAAGGTACCGCTATTATAAAAGTGACCAAAATAAGGAACACATACCTTATCCCAGAGAGGCTGTCAAACGCATGAAGATCCAATACATCAGACAGATCAACTCTAAAAGAAAACCAAAGTGAACAGTCGGAAATTTTGTAACACACATCCAGTCAAGAAGATTTTTGACTCTTAAAACTTTTTATATATAAAATTCATAAAAGTAGGTGAACAGTATAAGATCAAGGCAGAAAATTACTTGGTTATTGCTTCACCAGGCTATAGCAGTTTCGTTTTCAGTTTTTATCTTTTCAGTCCTAAAATTTGTGAGCTTTTCAAAATTTTTTTATAGCACAAAAAAAAAATCTAACTTAAGAACAGAAACTTTTCCAACAGCTTATTACTCAAAAGATGAAACATAAGAACACAAGAAATACAAATGGAAATGACAGAGTAGTATAGGTGCATTCAAATTATGTCCGGAATTTTCATTTCTTTTATTCTCCCCCATGATATAACAAGTAATATAAAAATATGTGGAGTTAAACATATAAATATGAAGTCATATAAATATGAAGTCACTCTCAAATCCTTAGCTACATGTAGTTTGATTTTATTCATTCAACTGGAATTGTGTATAGAAAGAAACTTCCCAGTTTGTGCTCTGTTTGAGTAGACATTATTTCTCTCAAAAATTATTTAGTGGTAATTAAACTCTACTGGGAATGCAACAATTCAAAATCAGATGAGAACAGCGTATCACAACCAGCATTAGGTTTGGTTTAAATACCTAAAAGAAACTTTATAAAGACTGGTGATTGAGTTCTAATTTTAACATAAACACACAAAATTGCAGAAGACAATGATTCCTCATATTCAAAGCTAAAATGAAGAAATAAACAGAAAATGACAAAAGTATAATCAAATTTCAAAATTAGGCTCCAGGAGCTTGCCAAACATTTATTAAATTTTCTCACATGGGAAACAAAACTTCATCTGTCAGATTCAAAATTATTTTTTAATGCACAAACATGTAAGAAAAAGTCTCTCCTTTAACTTGAGACCTACCAGCTGGGCCTGCTTTGTTCATTCTCAGAAGTCTACCCCACTCATGCTGTGGCAACAATACGGCTGGATTATGAATGCTTAACTTGGCACAAGACAGCTTTCCATCTTATTAAAAGAATAGTCCAAAGTTCTATGTTAATAGACAGTAATAAGACTTCAAATCTAGACATTCTGGATGAGCAGAATTGGGAAAATGATCAAGCAAGAAATAAATGTCCCATGAAGAAATTTTTGAGTATCATTTACATCAAGGGACCAAAGTTTTATCATTAAACATTTCTTTTCACCCTCTCAGTTGAGCAAATATTTATATAAACAGATCACAAATAAACAAAAATTTCCCCCCAAGTTTATCATCTTCACTTTGGAAAATAGCTTAGAGTTTGGCAAAGTTTACACATGCCAAGTTTGGAAATGTTAAATTCAGTTTGAAACATGAGCTTCTAAGTAAACTACTGTTACACTATAACAGGGTCCCTGAGAATACGTGTCATTTAGAGATAATTCTGTTTTATACACAGATTCTTTTGGTATTTCTAAAACAGAGAGGATCAATAACAGGTCTGTATGACAAATTACTCTACAGAGAATACAATATCAATGTCTCTCACTTAACTCTCGATGGAGAGTAAAAGAGAAGAAGTCTAACCTACCAGATCAAAGTTTCTATGAAGTTTCCCCAAATCTAGTAACACCATGAAAAATAAATTCTTCACTCGTTCAAGGTATATGACTGGAAAACGAATTTCCATGGAATCAAATGTATTTAATTTCCTCCTTTACAGATAAAACATCAGATCTTTTCCAAGACATTGAAATAGAAAAAGAATATGTTAAATAATAGAGACCATTACTATCATTTTTAAACCGAATAAGAGAGTGAAATAAACAAAAAGAAAAAACTTCAAAAGTTCATTTTTCTCCTCTTTTTTTTTTTTTTTTTGAACTATTTCTGTCATGAGTGCCTAATCTTTTCCCTAGGAAGAAGAGCTACTTCCAATTTTCCTAATGTCTAAAGACTGTTTTAAGGAGCCTAAGACCAGGGAAAGGGGAATGAAAAAAAGAGGCTTTTAGTTCTCCAAGGTGGGGTGGGACTGCAGCTGCTACTCTAGGGACATTGTCTAACAGTCACCTACCTCATCAAACTCCAGTGAGTCTCACAAACAGCGTATACTGGCCGGATCTACAAGTGGTAGATACCGTCCAATAGCTCAGTCCTGAGCTCTAGAACTAAACTTCCTAATGCTTTCCTCAGTGGCACCTCAAACTCAAAAATGTTTACAAAATGGAACTAATTACATTTTCTAAACCTACATCTACCATCACTCCACCCAACTTGCTCCTCCTCACTGTATTTTCCATACCTCAGACAACAGCTCCACCTGGAATCCACCTCCTAAGAGAAACTCAAGTTGCTATGCCTCAAAGAATTTTGGAAAATATTCAATAAACAATGTATGACTCAAGAGTTAAGAATTCTACTATGGATGTCTGATCAACACTAGAAAAGATTCTAATGCAACTTATTATTTTGAAAGTCTCTAGATTCTCAGATACACTGAAGAACAGAAGAAAGAAGATCTTATACATGTGTTCATTCATCCACTTGAAATAACAAAAATTAATCACTGCATATTGACTGTTATATATCAGAACAAACATTAAAAATGTTAGAAATGTCGCACTAAGTTATTACATAAAAACCAATCAAGATAAAAGTCTTTCTGTAGACAAGGATATTTCCAAAATAAAAACAAAAAAAGGGCCCAGCATGTGGCTCACAATTGTAATCCTAGCATTCTGAGAGGCTAAGGCGGGAGGATCTCTTGAGCTCAGCAGTTCGAGATCAGCCTGAACAAGAGTGAGATCCCATTTCTACTAAAAATAGAAAATTATCCAGGTGTGGTGGTGCCTGCTCTAGTCCCAGTTACTTGGGAGGGTGAGGCAGGAGGATCCCCTGAACCCAGGAGTTTGAGGTTGCTGTAAGCTATGGTCCCACCACTGTACTCTAGCCTGGGCAAAAGAGTGACACCCTATATCAAAAAAAAAAAAAGAAAGAAAATTGATTTAATATGATTGTAAACATGATCCAAATAAATGCCATTATGACAGAACCATCTATTTATGGATATGATTTTTCAGAGCTTGTTTAAATATTATACAGTTGTTTGCATGTCATTTTGTTAAGGAGAAAAATTAAGGGGAAAGGAAAAATAGACATAAGAAGAAGATACTGAGGAATGGCTCATGGTATGAGTGAGATCATCAGAGATTTTCTACAGCAGAGTTTGAACTGCAGGAACACATTCGGTACATGCTTATGGAGGCCTTCCACTGGGGGCATTCCGCTACCTCTGCCAGCAGATGAGCGGCTCCCGAGAATGCATACCCAATTAGTTCCCCCGCTGCTGCTCACATGCATACGCGCAGCTGCTGCTGTTACTGCCTGATGCTTATGGCAGTCTGTCAGCACCTCTAATCTCTGCCATCGCAGACAAGCCACTCAGCTAAGGCCTCTGCTATACTTCCAAAGAAAGAATTTCTCAACTAAGGACTGGGTGGCACTAGACGGCCAGCTGCCAGTCTCAGAGCTGCAGGCTGCATGTTGCTGGGTCTATCACCTGCTTAGCCTTTCCCAAAATGAGCTTAATGAAATACCCCCATAGGTTCTGAAACCATGACAGCTATTCAATGGAAAACAAAGTTCAATCTACAGAAATACATTTCACAGATGTTTTAAGAGCACATCTATTTTATAAAGTAAGGCACATCCGTATAAACAAAACAAAAAAGAGAACCTAAAGGAAATGAAAATCAAAAATTAATTAAAAAATTTATCAGGAATCTAAAAGTAAAGATTCTATGCATTTTCACATAACACATTTTCTGGCAACTATGAAACACTAAGAAGGTTTTAAAAATATGAAAAAGCTAGACCAGCACCTGTAGCTCAGTAGGTAGGGCGCTGGCTCCATATACCGAGGGTGACGGGTTTGAACTGGGCCCCGGCCCAACTGCAACCCAAAAATAGCCTTCTGGGAGGCTGAAGTGGGTGGACTCAGGAGCTTAGGAGTTCAAGACCAGCCTGAGCAAAGCAAGACCCTCCCCTACTAAAAACAGAAAAACTAGCTGCGTGATGTGGAAGGTGCCTATAGTTCCACCTACTCAGGAGGCTGAGGCAAGAGGATTGCTTTAATCCAGTGGTTCTGAACCTGTGGGCCGCAACCCCTTTGTAACAATGAAAATACATCCTGCATGTCAGATACTTACATTACAATTCATAACAGTAGCAAAATTAGTTATGAAGTAGCAACAAAAATAATTTTATGGTTGGGGGTCACCACAACATGAGGAACTGTATTAAAGGGCTGCGGCATTAGGAGGCATTAGGGAGGTTGAGAACCACTGCTTTAATCCAAGAGTTTGAGGTTGCTGTGAGCTATGAGGCCATGGCACTGTACCCCAGGGCAACTAAGTGAGATTCTGTCTCAAAAAAAGAAAAAAAAATCCATTTAAATACCTCAAATTTGAACTCTTCAGTATACTTTTTCAGATTTCTGGACTGAAGCAGGTGAAAGTCTTGGTTTCTTAACCATTAAGCAAACCACAGTTATATCATATTATCCTGGCTCTATAGTCTGAGTAAGAGAGGTAAATGTATTAACGAAATATTTCAAACTAATTTATAAAGAGCATTCAAAACACCATTTTGGGGGTCTCACTTTTTAAAATGTAATTATCTCTCTTATATTAGAATCATGCATATTAATCATTTAACTTTAATAGCTTTTTACAAGTACCTTGATCTCTGTGTTTCCAAAATTTTTCCTAGTCCATTTATTGATCTGAAATAAATGTAAAAATAAGAAAAGGTAAAAATCTATAAATTTTTTTTAAAAAGCATACAAAGCACATTATTTCTAAAACAAGAAGCATACAAAAACAAGAACTAGACAAGAACAAAAATAGAAAAAAAAAGAACAAAAATAGAAAAACTTACTTTTTTATAGTTTAATTGCTCTTTTCCTTTAAACCATAAATCAGGTATATTCCACTCATGCTTTAAAAAAACATGATATGAAAAAATCTACTATAGAACTGACAGATTGGGGCTACTTTGTGACTTACAAGAAGAGAAAGTCTACTTTAGAAAAGAATGATTTATAAATAGCAAGTAATTCTAGTGTTCTTAATATGAGTAAAGATTGAAAGCCAACTTTTTCCTTAAGCACACACTATGGACATGACTATACACACAATATAAATAAAAACCTGTTATAAGGGGCTTTGATCCAGCTCGTTCCCGGGATGTACAGTAATTCTAAGTCATATACGCAGGTTCTTTTATAGAATAATCCCTTCAGTTCCCTAACTAGAATCTTTACTCATTCTGACTATACTCCCTCTTCTGATACTGAAATAAAGGAATATGGCTCCCTTTGAATGCCACCAAAAAGTCTTGTTAAATCCTTTCCAACATATTGTGTATTTTCACCTATTTACCTTTATATCATCAATTCCGTTGTCTTTAGGCTTACTTGTCCACAATGCCTGCTACTTATTCAAGTTTGTTCTTGAATGCGGGTAAGGCTTCCCACATGCAATAATTCTGAGGCAAGTCTCTCCACTATTCCTTTCAACCATTTTACAAAATTCTTTACCTTCTGTTTGGAATACACTCTACAATCTGCTGACTATTTCCTCTTAAACACGTTTACCTTCTTTCAGTGCACCAAATTTAATTCTGAGTCAACCACAAGTCTGATGTAACTGGAGGATAAAAGTCAAAAGGGTCTGTAATTTATCAAACTGCTTCTTTCAGATTCTTTTCAGATACTGTTAACAAGTTGGCTAATAGTCGATATTGCCAGCATCAGTGATTAAGCTTAGTCAATATGGAGATATAAAATCCCAGTAATAATAATCACTCCCTTTATATCAAAAATGTATGCTAAATAGAGGTTTTCCCTAGCATATCACAATAGTGCACAAGATTTAAGTCAAAAAGAGTACTATCTATTCACCACTTTCATCTTTCCAGACTTTTAAAAAATATCAGCCATCTTTTTCTTTCTTCCATATTTTTATTCTCGATAGCTTGAATTTACTAAGAAAATATAATCTACATTGTAATAATGATAACAGCTAACAGAGCACTTACTGTGTCAGACACTGTGCAAAGTTTACCAACATTGTCTGATGCAATACTCAAAACAAACTTATAAATATTATTCCTGTTTTATAGATTAGGCTTTAAAAGGTTAAATAAGTTTCCTAAGAACACAGTGAGAAATAGACCAAGGATTAGAACTCAAGTAGATTCTAAGGTCCATGATCTTCAATACTATGCGATACTACCTGCCTTCCATATGGAGACGTTATTATAATTTTTTATAGTAAAGTTAAAAAACATTACCATTAAAATAAGATTAAATTATGCAGAAAAAGCATGAATTTTTCTTCCTAAATCATTAATCATTGCAAAAAATCTCCTAATGAGCCTTACTTTTTATTGATTCAATTTATAACATGTACTATATGAACTGGCATTACAGATTAAAAACCTGATATTAGCAAAAGTTATAAAGGCTAAGAATGGTAATTTAGAGCCATCATAGCCAAAGCATTGTACACATTAAAGATGACCAATAATAAGCTGAATGTCTCTCTATATGTGCCATTTATTAGTTCAGTTTTCACAAAATAATTAGAAACAAAGTCCAAGACCTCTAACTTTGTATGAAAGGTCCATTTCTTTTTCAAAGGCAATGGGAGTCTCCAGAATAGTCAGCAAATTGACTGCTTAATCATTTAACACACATTTGAGTACCAGTCACATTGTCCTCATCCTTGACCATCAACACCCAAGACATTAAAGCAAGTTGCAAGACAAGGCATAGTTGACAGAAAGGAAGACAAAGTCCATGAGGGTTGGGGAAAAGTGAGGCTACCTGTATCCGACAAGGCTTCACAGAGGAGAGAGAACAGGTTCTACAGAATGGATAAAATTCTTTAAAAAAAAAAAAAAAAAAAACAACCAAGAGAACAAAGATGCAGAAGGAATTCGTGGATTGGCTGAATGAGAATACATGAGTAAAGAAGAGATGTAGCAAGACATATTCATGGGAAAGTGATCATCCAGGGTAAAGTCAGGTAGGCTTGACATTAGGAAAGAGTCAAAGAGAAGACAGGAAAGGAAGGATGGACTCTGAGGACCCATCAGTCTACAAATGCTAAACTCTATTCTGTAAGCAGTGGGGATTAATTTTACGTACTACCTTTACATAGCAGTCAATTAGCCAACAGTACACATGATTCCCTAATGGCCCATGAGGCAGGTCATCAGTGAACCTTAAGTTTCCACAAGGCAAATAGTGACAGCAAAAATACTTTGTATAGTATAAACTTATAATTTTGTACCTAATGGTTGTTCTTAATTTGTTTAAATCCTCTTCTAGAACCAAGTCTGTTTTATTGATGAGAATGATATCTGCCAAAGCAATCTGCCTAAAATAGACAAAGAACAGATGTCAAAAGAAAAATGTTAAGACATCAAAATAGAAACATCTCATGCAGACCAATATATTGGTTAAGAACTATATAGTATGCTACAATAGTGATTCAGTTTATTCCTAATCTACTTATTTTTCAGATATTATAGATGAATTATATTCATCACCATATAAATTCAGATTTCATATTGTTTATTCAAAAAGTGTTGGCTTGGCACCTGTAGCTCAGTGAGTAGGGCGCCAGCCACATACACCGAGGCTGGTGGGTTCAAGCCTGACCCGGGCCTACTAAACAATGAAAACTTCAACCAAAATATAGCTGGACGTTGTGGCAGGCGCCTGTAGTCCCAGCTACTTGGGAGGCTGAGGCAAGAGAATCACTTAAGCCTAAGAGTTGGAGGTTGCTATAAGGTGTGCCACCATGACAGTCTACCAAGGGTGACATAGTGAGACTCTGTCTCAAAAAAAAAAAGCATTTATTAAGTTCTCTTACTTGCTACTCTGAAACTACAAAGGCAAGCTCAAAAATGTTTACAATCAAAAGGATGATATTTAACTTATCATTTTCTTTGTAAAGAAAAGCAGAAAATTCAGATATCTAATACAGTTTGTACAACATTTCTTGCAATATTTATCATAATTTTCAAAGAAACAGAACAAGTTCACTTAACATTAGACATGACATGAAACAGTTTAAAAACTATACTTTGAAGGTGGTGCCTGTGGCTCAAGGAGTAGGGCGCTGACCCCATATGCTGAAGGTGGTGGGTTCCAAACTAGCCCCAGCCAAAAACTGCAAAAAAACCCCAAAAAACTATACTTTGGAAGATCTACCGGGATCTTGCACAAGTATCTTCTTCATCACTATAACTATACTGTATATTATCTGTGGAAAATAGACATGCAGAAATTCAAGTCACAAGAGTCCAGTTAACAGAATGTTACATAACAAAACAGATTATTAAAACTATTCAATTTTCTACAATTAGGAGTACTAAAGCTGGGGATTCTATCAATTTTTACTTCTTCAGAAAAAAAAAATTTTTTGCTTTTGCAATTTTTTTTTGGCCGGGGCTGGCACTGAACTCGCCACCTCCAGTATATGGGGCCAGTGCCTTACTCCTTTGGGCCACAGGCACCATCCAAAATTTTTATCACTATCTGTTTCGAATCTTAGTCTTATGCTACATTTCAAAGAACATAACTAAATTCTCAAAACTAAATTAATTTTAATCCACTGAAAAATCAGTTTTCAATAATATGTATACCACAATCCAATTTTTATTTATTTATTTTTATTAGATGATAGCTGTGTACATTAATGCAATACAATCCAATTTTTAAGTAAATTTCATATGAATAAAAACAGAAAGTGTAACATCTCAAAATATAAACAGTTGAGATCTGAAAATTGAGGGAATTGTATGTTTAATTTTCTTTTGGCTTTTACATCATTTTGCTATTTTCTACTTAGCTTACTTATATGTCCTATAATAAGCACATTTTCATAAGGAAAAGTTACAAAAATATTTACGTTCACGCAAATTTTAATCATAATTATATACCAAATGCAGTATTTAGGTACTCTGACAAAATAACAGAGTACCATACAAGCTGTCACCCTGGGTAGAGTGCCGTAGCATCACAGCTCACAGCAACCTTCAACTCCTGAGCTCGGGAGATTCTCCTGCCTCTGTCTGCCAAGTAGCTATGACTACAAGTGCCGGCCACAATGCCCAGCTATTTTTTGGTTGCAGCCGTCATTGTTGTTTGGCGGGCCCAGGCTGGATTTGAACCCACCAGTTCAGGTTTATGTGGCTGGTGCCTTAGCCGCTTGAGCCACAGGCGCCGAGTCTTTACTATTTGTCTGGTTGATCCATACCAAATTCCAGGGGCCACATTCTTAAACTCAGAAACATAGTCAGTGACTGTTACCTATCCCCAAACCTTTATCCCACTGGCAAGAATAGTTCGGAATAGCCAAATTAAATATTTATAAGTTTAAAGATAATTAGGAATATAAAGGTATTTAAATTTTAAAATGTTAGGAGGGAGAAGAAAGGAAGGAGGGGGATTGGTGTACTTCCCCTAAAGGGCACAATGTTAAGAGTACATGGCACACCTCTCGGGTGCAGGACACAACTACAACAGAGACTTCACGGAGCAAATGCAAACACTGTAACCTAATCATCGGTCCTCTCATATTAATCTGAAATTAGAAATCTCAAAAAATGTAAATTAAATTTATATTTATTACATATTAAACCTATTTCCATATTGTTCCTCTATTATTCTGAATAGTAAATGCTGAAATCAAATGAACTGCTGTTCAAGAAGCCAACTATTTTTTATAATCTTCAATTCCAAATAAATTGTATGAGAAGAAAATATTTTTAAATGTTAATATTTCCTGAGTTCCTCACAAAGGACTCCTGTTTTCAGCACTCACTTTATGCTATAATAAAACTAGTTTTAAGTAAAATTTTAGTTATTAGACCATTATAAATACATAGCAATAATTCAACTGTGGGGAAAAAAGAAAATAAATGTCTTTGACTATATGGTTGCATTTCTTAAGTTTGTTTATGGTTTTCATATTAGTGATTTTTGCTTCCTAATTAGCCCGCAATTAATATATACTTAATTATACTTACTATATATACTTAGTATATAATATATACTTAATATATATAATTTAAATATGAATACCTAGAAGCTTCATTGATAAGACCATCAGGTTTTTCTTCCATTAAATGCTAAAGAAAAACAAAGTTTGAAAAACATTACTGTGGTATAACAGAAAAGCTATTCAACACAAAGGATTTTACACTGGAGACATTTTTCTTGCCCCCAATAAAGACTTTAACAAGTTCCATTACAGAATATATAAATTCAGAACTAAGTTTTCTATCTGAAAACATTTTTCTTCCCATTTGCAGTTTTTTCTACAGTGAGCCAGTAGGATTTTTTGGAAGAGGAAAGAAGGGGCTTAGGATTTCATACTTCTGCCCTTCTTTTTCTGTTTCTTAAAAGGAAAACCCTTCTTTATGTCATAAAACCAAAGAATCATAGTTCAGATTTTAGTTCTATTCTTCTTTATAAAACTGTTCTTGTTCTAAATATTCATTACTTCACAAGGGATAACCCCTGAAATCATACTTTCTTGGAATCTAGTATACTTCCCTCCATTCCCACCCCCATGTCCCACTCCTCACCCCCAAATCATACACAATAGGAGCTCAGTACCAGGCCCTTCAAATTCCCCAGAAACAAATAACCTGTGAGAAGGATACAGCCCTAATGCTAGCCTAAGAGCAGTTATCATTTAGAAACCCACATTTGAATGAACTGGTCTCTCAACGCAACTGATTATTTCACTGCTCTCTAGAGTCAGGCTAGATCCAAAAAAATATTTTAACAAAGAGTTTTCATCTCTCTGAAAGCAAAGAGTTGTTTTTTTTTTTTCCCCCATAATCTTATATATATCCCTAAGGTCATCAATGCAACAAAGTTCTCTAGAAAAATATTTTTCCCTCATCACCTCAACCTTCAAATAGATGTTCCCTGTCAAAAGCTTGCTTCTGAGGCTTAGAGGCAACTGAATTATAATAATATTCTTTATATTTGACTTGAACTTGATGAATTACTGAATCCTTTTACATGTATTATCTTGTACGGGAAATGGCTATTTCATTTTATAAAGGAAAAAACTAAATCCATCAACCTCACCTTGAGGATACCATATATTTATATAACAGCACAGGGCTTTTGTTTTTTTTTTTTAACTGAAAACATGCTTATAGATGTAAAATAAACAATTTTAAATTAAGTCGTTATGAAAGGCTTTTATGTCATATAAAATCAGTCTTTTGTACGGTGTAACGCATTAATAATCACATAAGAACATACACATAAAGATTACTTAAAAATTACATTTAAGATCATTTTGCCAAACCGGTTTCACAATTTATAGGGAGGTAATCATTAAAGATATCTGGACAGTTTGAAGCCTAAAAGCAAGTTGGGGGACTCTGATTTAATATTTTCAGTTAAGTATGTAGAAGTATACAGAAGAACAATTTTGTTCGTCTCAAAGTTGCCAAATTCTATTTTGAGAAAAACAAAACTAAACTAAAAATCATGGCAATGATATACCAATTTCCACATTGGGCACAATCTTATTAATTCAATTGCAGATCACTCTGCAATTACGGAAGTCACAGAATGTGGAGAGTCTTGTATCAAAATTCACTCCATGCCAAAAGACCAAGTTTAATATTCTTCATAATTAATCTTGGTCCACGGCTGTAATGAATCCTATTATATATACTCTGCCTCTAGAGAGTAAGGTTGTTGCCAGAACCTGGAATAGTGCCTGGCACACAGGTTCAATACATACTTGTTGAATGAATTGTAGTTAACACCCTATTTGTTGACACAGATACATAACTGTTGTTATTTAAAAAATGCCATATAACATGCAGTGACAAATCACTTCCTAGTCAGCAGTAAATCTACTTAACAATAATACTTTTTTGGCAAGGCATCTGCCTCTGAACAATCCTGTAATATAGAAAATTCTTTTAAAATTCTTAAATATTTTTCAAGCTATTGCATGGTTGACCTTCTGGAAGCTTTATTTAATATACATATGAAGGCAGGGCTATTTTGGCTGTGAGTTGGTGAGACACAAAAAAGATACAACAAAAGAATTACAGATGCTTTTGAATTCCATACCTAAATGGAACCAATAAAATGATAGTTTCACAAAGTAACTCACAATGTTTTGAATATGTTTACTTCTCTAAAGAGATTAGGATTTTCACCTCAAGGCTAACTGTGGTAGACTAACATTTTATTACCTCCCAGCAGTTAGAAAATATCAAATATAAAAATAAGCAAAAATCCTCCCAAATAAGAGACCACCAATATGTACAACTCCATTAAGAATATGATATATTAACCAACCATATCTCTTATTAGATATGTAAAAGAATGATATATTAGAATCATATATATTATAGCAAAAGAGATAAATTCCCTGTTCTATGCACTTGTGAAAGCCATACAAACATTAAAAGATAAATGCACAGTAACATTTATTTTCTCATTTCAGATTCCATTACGCAAATTCCTACTTCCCCTAGTCAAACTCTGCAAAAAGTCTAAAATATCTGCTATTTGAAAGAAGAGTCTCTAATAACCACATAATACATTCCAGCATGTGGTCATTAAGTCAAATGACGTTCAATTATAAAGCAAAAACAAAATGGAAATTTTGGCATTTTAATTCTACTTGTATAGGCAAATGAAAGAAAAAAATTTATTTTACTTTTATATACACACACAAGGTCAAACAGTTCACAAACTCATCCTAGAAAAAGCACTACAAACTCAATGCTGAATATCACCACAGTCACCTTGGATGCACTCTCCTTGGGCAGCTATGCACCAACACCACACCTGGGCCACTCTTCAAAGCAAGTTTTCTAGGGTGAATTTGTGAACTTACTTGTCAATCCTTGTGCAAGGACAGCTCTAATAGCGATTCCAGAAAAAGAGTTCCAAAATTGCTTTCTGGAGGTGATGTATTTGTACCACAATGTATACATTCATTAAAACATCACGTCATGTACCTTAAAAAATACAAATTTGGGAGAGGAGAGGTAAGGGGGATTGATGGGGGGAGGGAGGGTGATTGGTGGGGTCACCTCTATGATTTATTTTACAAGGGTACAAGAGAATCTTTCTAAAAGCAGAGTATGAATGTCTTAACTCAATAACTAAGAAAATGACAAGAAGGTTATGTTAACCAGTTTGATAAGAGTATTTCAAAATGTATATGAAAACAGCACACTGTACCCCATGATTGCATTAATGTACACAGTTATGCTATAAGAAATAAAAAAAAATACAAATTTTACTTGTTAATTATACTTCAATAAAGGAGAAACAAAGGAACCCATTGAAATAGCACCACTGTGGTCATGACTTTTGAAGGGTTATAGTGTGTCCTATTCTGCAGAAATAAACATGCTGGACCAAAAAAAGAAAAGAAAAAACTATCTTAAACTCACTGTCTAAAAAAGAATACTGCTGCTAACCAAAGTGGAAATAAATCTGGGGTCAAGGGTGTCAGTTATTATTTTCAAAAAGCAGCAGCAGTAGTAAACTATTTCTTTCAAATGGTTTGGTTATGGTTCTAACACTATTTTAGCTTTAAAACGATTATTGCATAATGTCAGTCTATTTATTTTTTGGCCTTTTACAATCTAAACTGTTTTCTAACTGAACTGTTTCAACAGCCTGTGCAATATAACAGAAGAACCAAAAAGAGACCTCTCACTTGACCTTTTCCGCATAACTTCATTCATTGATTCTATTGCATTAAATGCTGTCACATTTGTAGAACTGAAAAGAACAATGTCAGTAGCCTAGGTGTCAAGTCCCGAGAATAGAGAGCTGTCATTTTAAGTTGTCCAATTCTTTGCCCATGATTAAAAAATGAATATTTCAGATCAATGGGTGACAATCCCATTAGAGTGATAGCCCATGATATCAATTACCACTTCAGTTTCAATTTGGCTGGCTGGCCACAGAGTACCATTTCTCAGCCTTGCTGGTGATGGGCTGGCTCTATGAAGCATGACACCCTTAAATTGCTGTCCATTATCCAAGTGTCATTACGTGTACTGCCTCAGAATTCTCTGAATCACAAGCAGCTACTGAGGTCAAGCTTTGCAACCAGAAGAATTGGACAAGTTGGCAAATTCTTTATATAAAGGCAAAGTTATTTATCTGGCATCCAACTTAGAAAATCTAAAGTTTCCATTATCCTGACAGTATGTCAGTTTTGTGTAGGTATATTGATTTAATAATTTAAAAGGTTTTATCAAGGTGGCAGGAGGTTAAACGTTTCCTGTGTTTGCATTATTCAGAATGTTGCTTTGTTTTCTTGGCCCCTATCATGCTGGTAATAGATTCTATCTAACTCCTCTCCATGCTCAACTATACATATAAAATTATTCCTGTAATCATAAAATACATAAAGAGTTTTACTTTTGGCATGGCACTTTAAGTCTATCAAAAAAAACAAAAGGTCTCAGCAGCTATATATCTGATAGGTATATCAAATTTGGTAATAAATTTGTAAAGATAAATGCAAACATACCTATAAGAAACATTCAAAATGAATAATTTGGAGCTTTTTTGCTACTTCCATAAATGTTTTGATAGAAATATTATGATTTCAGAACAATCAGAAAAAACAAGTTTTTCTGAGTAAAAACTGTTATACTGTATATGAGATCTTTCTTTGATTCTTGGCATTGTTAGTATATTTAGATTTTAAACTTTAAAAAAGCAATTATTTTTCCAAACTTTTCAAGTTAGGGCATCTACTGATGAGGGAAACAAAGGGTCAATAAAAGGGTATTGGTAGGCATTTGATAAGCCTGACTTAGCTCCCTAGACTAGAGCATAATTTCATTGAGGATTCAGAAGAAATACTTTTTTTTTTTTTTTTTGCAGTTTTTGGCCAGGGCTGGGTTTGAACCCACCACCTCTGGCATATGAGGCCGGCACCCTACTCCTTTGAGCCGCAGAAGAAATACTTTTTAAAACTAGTAAGTTTAGATATGTTATGGGGTAGAATACAAAACTGATACAAATCTCTAAACAATGAATTTAAACCTCTAAGAAATTATTACTTTGGGGCCTGTTCACACTCCCAGATTGGGACAGGGGTGGAAGGTGGGACAAAGGATAATTTCATTCTCTGTTGCCTTTAGTGATATTTTACTTGGAAAGTAGAGAAGCAATATTTTACTTTATGCAACCACATGTTTTTAAAACTCTCACTAAATGCATTTTATAAACTGAATCTCATTTAAATGCATTTGAGGACCTTAGCAGGTAACAAAACCATACAAGGCAGGATGCCTTTTAATGGGGAGCTTCTCCTTACTAATCCCAGGTAAGAATCCTAACTTCTCCAAATTAAAGAGGTATTTATTAAAAATCTATTTTCAGCATGTGCTTGACATATTCATAGTTAATAAGAAAATAAAATCTCACATGCTTTATTAAGTTCAATTTCCTCTATCAAACAGAAAAACTTACCAGCATTAGGGTTGAATCTTAGTGAGCAATTATACATCCTCAAACTTTATCCCAATCTTATCCTCATTACAAAATATAATTCTAAATTTTGTCATGACATTTAACCTGAGTAATTTATTAAAAATATTGAATTTAAAAACACAAAATAATAAAATACACACAAACTTCATCTATAGTTCAGGATAATAGATGAAAAAGATTTTTACAAAGGAAAGTTTCAAACAGATGGCCAGGCATGGTGGCTCATGCTTGTAATACTAGTGGGAGGATCCTTTGAGCTCAGGAGTTTAAGACCAGCCTAAGCAAGAGCAAGACCCCTGTCTCTATTAAGAACAGAAAAGCTAGCCATACACTGTGGTGGCCTGTATTCCCAGCTACTCAGGAGGCTGAGGCAGGAGGATTGCTTGAGAACCCAGGAGTCTGAGGTTGCAATGAACAACAGCACTCTACCCAGGGAGAGAGAAAGATTCTGTCTCAAAAAAAAAGAAAAGAAAGACAATGCACTCTAGCCTGGGGCAACAGAGTGAGACTCTGTCTCAAAAAAAAATATATATATATATCAGTTAAAAGTGGATTCAGCTGATATCTTCAAAAATTTTTCAACACATATAAGTGTAGAAAATATAATTCAGTGAATCCCCACATTCCTAGCTCTTAACAGTCAGGAGCTCATCACAATTTTCAACTTACTTTTAATCCATATTTTGAATCTACAACAGTTATGATACCTACAAAGAAATAAACATTTTAATCACCTTTTAAAAGAAAGAGTGTTTATTAATGTCATACAACCATACTTGAGAAAAGTTAAAATTAATCTACTATTTTAGTTCACAAAAACTACTCAATAAAACAAAGTATTTATTTTCTCTTGCCAATGTGGTGATTAAATTCACTCCAGTAATAAGTCAACACATTTCAAATATGTGCTGAGTACCCAGTATTGTTTTAAGGTACTAAAGATAAAGAATTCTAAAAACTAAATAAACAACTAAGAAAATGAGATTTCCCTGGCATTTAAAAACCTTATAACTCAAAACATAACACAAATTTTATAATATAAAATCAAATGTGATAAATTGCATAAGACGGGTTATTTCTAGTTCATTTTTACATAATCAAAATCAAGACAATATATATACTATTGCTTAAAAGACATCTTAGAATATCTTCTAACATATCTCACCAAAACTAACTCATAAAAATGTTTTACATAGTATGCACGATAACTACGCTTCCAAATGATTAGTTTAGCAATCTCTGAATATATGCTAAATAATTTTCAAATGATAACAGCAGAATGAGTTTGAGGATGCCTAAGCAATTCAACCAGCTACATGCCACATATATTAGAGTCCAATGCTAGGACCCAGCTTCAATGATTCTTAAATTTCACCCCTTAGTCTTTAAAAAGGTAAAAGCAGGAAAGAGAGGGGAAAACATCATTGTTCAACTAAGGAAGTTTCTAATATGTCTTAAATGAAGGCAGTTTGTAAGTTTACAAATTAGATTGCCCAAAAGTGTGAAGGTAAATACAGGAAAGGAAGATGTGCTTAATTCTCATCTTTAAGGAAAATGAAAGCACAAACATGGCCCTCACATTGCCTGCTAAATAAAACAAAAAGCTCTTAACATGATTGGCAGGGCAGGAGTCAAACAACAGAGGATATAGGAAATCTGTACAGTATTTTCAAAGGAAAACTTCAGTCCAAGCACTAAATTAAAAGGTTAAGATTAAGACCTGATGCCCAGTTCTATCACTGTCTGAGGCTTTTGAATGTGTATGAACAAAGACTGACTTTATCATCAAACTAAACAAGTGCAAAGAATTAAAATTATAGTAGGAATAAAATAAAGAATGCAAAGAATTAAAATTATCGTAGGAATGACGTAAAAATTAAAATTTACTTAAAAACAAAACTGTTTAACTTACCATCAAGATAAATATCACTCCCTAATTCAGCATCAACCCAAAAGATAGAGGCCACAGCACCTGAAAATATATAATATTCATCATATAAAAATATTCTTCAAACTGAAAAACATGATTCTATTCATGGTTAAATTTGTTCCAATGCAATTAGCAGTTAAGCACGTATACAAACTACATCTGGGTTTCCTATCTTCTTATGGGAATCACAGTGACAGAACCATTTACTAGTTACACCTCATCTACCCCTCTCCCTCTTTCCTCAAAAAAAAAAAGACAAAACCCAACTCTTAACCACCTACAAACAAAACATCATGCCTTTACCACTGCCATAATAATTTACCAACAGATAACATGAAATAATTTGGGCATTATGGCTGGATGTACAAACCTATTTTTATTTTCTCATCTCCTACAAATGATAATCATTCAGGTCACAATGATGAATTACCCTTTTAGAGGAAAAGCAAAACAAAACAGATAATTTCCAAAATCACTCATTCAAAAAAATTTAGTTGTAATTTTTGTAGAAAAGATAGTAAAATCATATACTCTAATACTAATTAATCTTCGCACTATGTCATACTGGCATAAAATTTGGGTCTGAGGAAAAATTATTTCTAAATAAGAAATTAAAACTTGTTTTTGACTGAAACTGCTTCAGGACCAAACCATGCGCCCTGATTAGCACGCCCCAGCCCAAGAAAAAGAAAACTGACAGCAAGGAAGTGTTGGATTCTTCCGAATATCACAGGCCCACTTAGTGACAGGGCTGTCCAAAAGAATGAGCAAGGGCGAAAAACAAGGATAACGGAACTCATTCCAGTGTCAGAAGCCGTCCACCTACCCTGACAAGATGTGGTTCCCCCAAGCATCATTCTGTGTCAACAATGAAATACCTGTCAGCTGTTTACAGTGATTACTCATGCAAGATATAGCAAGGGCCACAAGATCTAATGGTTTCCTGATATCTATTGATTTTTTCCCAAAAACTTAATAGTTTTCCAATTTGACTGAAATAGGATTTGTGAGTAACCGGGCCTGAATCAATGTCCATCCCTTTCAAGGAAATTACTTTACCATGACAATTATTTAGCTTAGAACAGAAGAGTGTCAGTCTCCTAAACGGGAAACAACTGAATTGCCGATAAGAATTTTGTTCACTTTCTTGGCTAAAAACATGATTTTAATTAATGAGAGGAGGGAAGTAAATCTACTGTATCATTACTCCAAACAATAAGTCATACAAAACTATTAATTTGTTCACTCAGTATAATACCTAACATCATACATACATCATTTTAAATTTTTAAAAGTTCATTGATTTCTATTCAGATGAACAGCTTGTCGGTCCTACCATTAACACTGACATATCAAGTTGAACTGTAAGATTGCATTAAAGCTTTTACTCTAAATCTAAAGCTTTTACCTTTGATCTAATACCTGCCAAACTAACAAGAAAGGAACTATTTAAAATTTGGATTAACTTCATTCACTCCCCTTCACTCTTCCTGTGTTGAGCAAGAGTGAAGGTGAGCAAATGAAGTTAATCTGTGGCTCAACAATCAAGGTGCTTTTTCTCTCCAAGTCATACCCAGCAATGTCTGAATATATTTTTCATTATTTCTCGCAGGGAAGAGCTACTGGCATCTAGTGGGTAGAAGCCAGGGATACTGCTAAACAACCTACAGTGCCCAGGATGAACCCCAACAACAAATAATTATACAACCCAAAATGTCACTTGTGCCAAGACTAACCTTGACTTAGATTATAGACTTTAAGACCTAATAAAATAAAAATAGAAAAAATAAAAAATAAAACAAAAAAGCCAAAGTTTTACCAGCAACAATGATATAACCCCCTGCCATAAATTCTGAAGAGTGACCATCAAAATAAGAAACAAAGTCCTATGTTACTCTGGTCTTTCCTACTCTATTTCCCTATCCCAAATAACAGGTTATAGGGAAATAGTTTACAAAATCCTGATACTTATCCGAAATACCTTGCCGAATGGCAAGAAGTAGAACTGAGAGAAGAATAAACACTGCAGAGAAAAGTCAACAACAGCAAAAAGTCAAGACTAAAAGTTTCTAACTAGCTCCACGTATTGGGGGACAAGGTTACTTTCTGGGCTTCAAAGCAAAGTAAAGCAATTAAGTCCACTTATAACCCCACATGACATATAGGATGTATACTCCTAAGCAGTTGGAACAAACCCAAAAAGAGAATACTTGGTGTTTCAAGAGCACAGCCTAAAAGCCACATTGCCCCATCAGACTCTCAGTCACCCCTTTTCCCACTGCTCTCCCCCAACTTTCAGCAAGACCCAGATTCCAATCTTGGGCTCAGGAGAAAAACAAGTTGGGTAAGATGAGCAGGGTATTAAAAAACACTCTTCATCAACATCATATCTTCCCATTCTATGTAAATAGAAGTTCTCTGTCTGCTAGTTCAAGAACAACACATATAGACATGTACAACAGCAGAGAAAAACAGAAAAGAAGATAAAAGGCAAGAAGGGAAAAAAATTCAAAAATTGAATAGGGCATATAAGTGGCAAAGCACTCTTTTTGGAAGGAACATAATCTAAGAAATCAAAGAAAATTCTCAAAAGACTAGAGCAAGTGTCCTCAAACGATGGCCGGTGGGCCACATGCAGCCTGCTGAAGACATTTATCCGGCCCACCGGGTGTTTTTGCCACCACTGCCTGTCCTGCTTAGCAGCTGACTTGTCCCAGGGCCCACAATCTAGCGCTCCAACAGTCTGAGGGACAGTGAACTGTTTTAAAAGTTTGAGGATCCCTAAACTAGAGCATTCACAAAGTTTTCTTGATACAATAACTGGAGAAAACATAATCAAAGGAAAATAACAGCCAATCAAAAATATACTAGATTATGGAGCAATATATGTGAAAATAATATTCAGAAGGGAAGAAATTGTGGTTCAGAAATTGTATGCTAGCTAAGTATTCCTTCAAGTATGTTAACAAAAGACAACTATTCTGAAGCAATGAAGAATGAAATATACAAGAATTCACAGACTGCAGCTCTTATAACTTGAAAGAAGTACTAACAATAAAATTCACTCCATCAGAAGATGGATTAACTCAGAAATGGAGAAGCTCTAGTAGTGACAATGAGCACTAAAACTATTTAAATATAGAACTAAAGAGATTATGAAAAAGTGTAAATGCTGGAAACCTCATGACATAACGAAGAATACAATCAACCAAAAGCAGATGGTGAAAGCATTAATTTTATGCTAGGGAGTCAATAGATACTCCTCTAAAATCTAATCACATAGTTTAAAAACCAACTTGTCCACTTCATGTTCTTTGTAATCTGTTTTTCCTTAATTCACATCTCTTGGTGAAGAAGCAGGCATGTGATATTCAGCAAATTCCTTCATGTACCATTCAGTTTCTCTTTCTTCTGTTAGAGTCAAGTAAACGGAATTAATAATTATTAAAATTAGGACAAAGAATGTTAATCCATCCTTATAAAATTATTTCTGTATATTCAGCCAGTTTGGAAACCCTCTTTCATGGAAGAGGCGTTCCCAAACTCATACAAGTACAGACACCTTCTTGTACCTCGCTTTATTGCACTTTACAGAGAATGCATTTTTCACAAAGTAAAGATTTGCGGCAACTCTGCACTAAGCAAATCTATCAGCGCCAATTTTCTAACACCATGTGCTCACTTTGTGCCTGTGTCACATTTTGGTAATTCTCACATTATTTCAGACTTTTTCATTACAATGCCATCTGTTATAATGATCTATGATCAGTGATGTCTGACGCTACCATTGTAATTGTTTTAGGCAATTAAAAGATGAACCGCACCCATATAAGATGGCAAACTTAATGAGTGTTTTCTGGCTGCTCCACTGACCTTCCCTGCCTTCTGGCCTCCCTATTCCTTGAGATACAATAGTATTAAAATTAGGCCAATTAGGGCAGTGCCTGTAGCTCAAAGGAGTAGGGCACTGGCCCCATATGCCAGAGGTGGCGGGTTCAAACCCAGCCCTGGCCAAAAACTGCAAAACAACCCAAAATAATAATAAAATAAAAATAAAATTAGGTCAATTAATAACTCTACAATGGCCTCTAAGTGAAAGGAAGAACTGCATGTCTGTCACTTTAAATCAAAAACTGGAAATTATTAAGCTTAGTGAGGAAGGCATACTGAAAGCTAAAGACAGACAGCAAGCTAGGCTTCTTATAGGGAACAGTTAGCCAAGTTGTGAATGCAGAGGAGAAGTTCTTGAAGGAAATTAAAAGCGCTACTCTGATGAATGCATGAAAGATAAGAAAGCAAAATGGCCTAATTGCTGACAAGGAGAAATTCCCAACCTCATGATGAAATCTGATGGCCAGTGTGGGATGTCTTGTCTAATGGGAGGTGATGTGGGATATGGAGGTAGAACCCTCATGAAGAGATTAATGTCCTCTTGGCAGATGGGGGATTTGAGTGAATTTTACAGTCACTTCCTTCCAAAAGCTGATTGTTAAAAAGACCCTGGCACCTCCCCCTTCTCTCTTGCTTCCTTCCTCAGCCTGAGATCCCTTCCACCAAGAGTAAAAGCAGTCTGAGGCCCTTACCAGAAGTGGATGTTGGTGCCATATTTCTTGTACAGTATGCACAACCAAAACCACATAAAACTTTCCTTTATAAATTACTTAGCCTCGAGAATTCCTGTAAAGCAACACAAAATGGACTAAGACAGCTGTAGTAGCCTGGATTCATGAACAAACAAGTCACAACCTTCCCTTAAGCCAAAACCTATTCCAGAACAAGGCCCTAACTCTCTTCAATTCTCTGAAGGCTGAGAGAGGTAAGGAAGTACAGAAGAAAAGTGTGAAACTAGCACAGGGTGGTTCCTAAGGTTTATGGAAAGAAGCTATCTCCAAAACATAAACGTGTTAAGGTAAGGGCGGCACCTGTGCCTCAGTGGGTAGGGCGCCGGCCCCATATACAGAGGGTGGTGGGTTCAAACCCAGCCCTGGCCAAACTGCAACAACAAACAATAGCCGGGCATTGTGGCGGGCACCTGTAGTCCA